TCTAGAGAAATACTTGAGGAGTTTAGGGGTAAATGGGGCAGCTTCAGATTGGGGCAGCTTCAGATTTCTTAATTTTCTCAGAGATTTTTACATGAATAAATTCCTGGTCTTCACATAATGTTTGTAGTCCTTAAGGACTACAATTGACGAAAATTTGCTCAGGATAGCCTTTACTGTTTAGATAAAATAAGTGAAAATTGAAAATCACTCACAAACTAGAATTTTGCTGCCGAATTGATTGCGTGTTTTCTCCATTAAAAAAGCCACAAATCGCGTGAAACACAATCAAAGGTTATTGAGAGTTAAGTAGAGATTCTAAATGTGCCCGAACTTTTCCTCCTGATCACGGCCTTTTCAGTGGGTGGTGGAAAATTCACAAACACTGCCCACGGGGCAGTTTCGGATCGCCACGGACTGACAACAGCGCGCTCTGACAGTCTGACGCAACATCACGGTCGAAATTTTCTTGTGGCAAATATTGAAGATTTTTCACAAAGTGCCGTTCTGTGCTGCATTGCTTCATCACGTTAAACGACTTCTTAGTGGAAAAGTGAGAAAATACACGCGAAAATCACTGATTAGAGCAGAAATTTCGAGAAGCACATTTTGCGCGGAACTTTCGCTGCGCGTCAAGTTGCCACCACTCACGCATGGTGGCGTTGCGATACAGGAAAAATGACGGGCAACTTGCTTTTCGCTCAGACATTTTGACAGTGCGTGCAAGGGTCCAGAAAAGTCGCGAAAATATTACTTTAAAGGCGATTTTTAGCGAAATAAACAGTGTCAGTGCGTAGAATAGAAACCAAAGTGATCATTTGCCCGCGATTCTACAATTCCACAATGGAATTTATGGTAAATATAAGTGAAAATCTGAAACTGCCCCAGAGCAATCCGAAACATCCCCGTGCGGGGCAGTTTCAGATAAATTACAATATTATTTTCATTCTCCTTTAGAGGAAAAACGATCAGTTTTAATGCCCAATGAAAGGCATTTTCTGAAGCTCAATAGACGAGAGTTTATTTGAGCGTTGTGATCATTTCAATATATTCAGCCGATTTTTCAAGAAAAAATCCTAAAGTTGGAACAGCATTTTGAATCTGAAGCTGCCCCACTTACCCCTATATAGTGTTTGGTAGATCAAATATTTGTTCTCGAGCAAACTTACCATTCATGTCTTTCAACCTCTATTTAACTATAAGAAATCGTCTGTTTTTAGTCAAGAATTCTTCTGTTTGCGTAACATTTTTTTTTCTTAATAACATTTAACATTCCAATTCCATTAAAATCACATAGAATCACCGCTTTTATCAGAGTCCAATTCATGGTTTCTAGCATCTGTTTAAGACAAGATGATATAGAAGATAGCTATAAATAAATTTCGGACAATCACTCCGCGAATTAGAAAGTATATATTGGAATGAAGATTCTGAATATAACTCCAATTTCCTTCACAATTTTCCTCCCTTCATAAAATCCAACCATCCCTATGCGTCCCTCCTTGAAGTTAAGAAGATTTTCAAATATTCCCTCATTAATTCTGTGCCAAGTGTCGCGTTTTTGCCCCCGGAAAAGCCCAGATTGATGAATTATTGCGACTTGGAAATTTTATAGATGTTCGCTTACAAATGTTCAATTGATAACAATTATTTGAACGCGATTCTTCTTCCATCGTGCAAGGGAGAAACAAATGGGGGGCAGAGAAAAGTGGAGAAAAATTGTGAATGAATTGGATTCGATTCAAATTGACGCAAAACCACTTGTCAATTTTTTTGCAGCGCAAATTATCTTTACTGCCAATTGCAGAAACATTTTCCTCTTGTCTCTTTTTCATTATTTACCTTGCGATCGGATTGAAAGTGTGCCAAGAAACGTGATCTCCATTCTCATCTTCAAAAAGCACTCTTGTTCACATAATAGTGAGACTTTATGGCAAAGTATTACATTTTATTGCAAAATTATTGTCACGTGTTTTTGGTTTGGGAAGAGAAACACAGCTGGACTGCAGTAGATGATTATTGACGGAAAAAGTTGAATATCGCCTTTTATTTATCCTCTTTAAGGAAAGTTCCCCTCATAAAGACGACAAGCAAGCCTCCGCCGAAAGTGGGTGGGGCGGAATGTGGGTGAATCCAGTAAGAGTAAAAAACAGACATAAGAGCTTAAAGGAAGCTTTCCTCCTCTCAACTCTTGTTCCGACATCCTAAATACCTTCCTCTTCACCCGGCCGACACCAGAGAAAATTTGATAACGCACAGAGGAAAACACAAGACGAAAGAAGTACAAAACACAGACGGATTGCGAGGCGAGGGCAGAAGTGAGAAAAAAAAGTGTGAAACACCCCCAAAGCTCTCACCCACTGATGTACTATCATTGTTTTTCTCTTAAGCTATAAAATATATGTTATGGTGTACAACAATAACTTCATTGACCATATTTATTGGTCTCGCAATAGAGGGCGGAATGTGCTGCGAGATTTGTGACACTGACCAGAGGAGGTGAAGAGTTTTACGACAAGGGTTATAGAACTTTGTCAGGAACTCGTATTTACGAGAGAAAATAGTTATTTTTGGGAGGAAAGATTGAAAAGTTTGGCTAAATGTCTCACTGTATCCGAAGAAAAGTGAATGTTTAAGACCCTATAAGACATTTTGATTATGAATCTTATAGGATATTGACGAAATTGATTCCGTATTTCCATAGGAGTTTTGCCAGTAGAACCAAGAAATCAGTCTTTAGAAAAGGTCTTGGAATTAGTCAGAATCTGCTGAATTCTATGTCCTTTTTGGTATTATTTCAAGTTTTTTCGACATAATTGCAAATCTTTTTCGGTATATAAATTAAAATAGGGTTTACAAAACCTTTAAGTATTTTTCAAGACAAAATCTTCCTTAATCAATTTTCAATCTAATTATTCTGGGACTTATGCCGAAATCGACTAAATTCTAGCTCGATTTTTCTCTCAGTGTGCGTCCTGTAGAAGCGAAATTAAGTTCATCGGGCTTTTTCTTTCTTCCATTAGCTTCATAAAAATTCGATAATCACTAGAGTGACCCTTCGAAAACTTTTTGTGGACTTGCGTTAAAAAATTCACTCGGTGTGAAGAAAGAGAAGTGAAGTTCAGGAGACAAGCGTGGAATTCAATGGGTAAAGCTGCAGCGAAGCGAGTCCGAGCTGCGAAATGGGACACAAGAGAGTGCTATAAAGGAACGATATGTGGCTGAAATAAAAATAATAGTCATACGAGGGCGATGATATGTTCAAGAGATCAAATCAAACCCCGAGGGTGGGATGCGATAGGCGGACTAGACGAGGCTTTTATCTCTACACTTCGACGTTCCGTTCGCTCCTTCGGCGCCACTTCCTGCCGAACGAATACAAATGGCTGTAGATTGCCGAAGACCATGGATAGACTTTTCACTCAAGTGACTATTGAGAGTCAATGAAAGCATGTATATTTTCTAATTTGGGAAGAACGGGCGAAAATTATCTGCTCGGCAAGTGTTGAGAAATCCGTGTTTTCTCACAACTTTCTGCCACTCTGGCAAAGCCAAACATCCAACACTTGTGCTGAGAAATTTAATTAGTGATGGGGAAAATTAATTAAATTCAATTGAGTCCTGTGAGATTGCACATGAGTTCATTGTAATTCATTCCTCACAAAATTCCTCGACCGCATAGAAGTGAATTAGTTTTACAGGATTTTCTTCCATTCAACACGCTGGATTCTCGAATGTCTTTTGAATAAAGTTCACCCACATCTTCATTATCCATCGCCTTGCGAGAGGAAAGTATTCCAATTCAATCGCTTAAAATAAAACAAACATTTTTTTATTATTAAAGTTCAGCTTAGAAGATTTAATTTACATTTGATTTAAGTCAAAAGTCAATTGGACTTTATTTAAATGAATTCCCATCTCTCTTCATTTCTACACTGTCCGCATGAATTGGACAAGTTAATCCCGGAATGATGGAAATTGCCTCCACAGGATGTCCATGATGGCATGTCTTATGAATCGCTTAAAATGCAATGTCGGGACTACAAAGGATTGCGACGCAATTCTATGCAATAAATATTTCCCATTTGTCTGTAGTCTCAATAAAAATTCAACATTATTAAACCAATATCGGCCTGTATTGCCTCGGCCACCTGTATATAGACACATTGTGCTTTATTGAGGGCCTGACGATGGGGAAAAAGTGAATGGGAGCGAAAGAGGAAAAAGAAATTGTAATAACATCCCAACAAACAGCAAGTCGCACAGAGATTATGCGTTTTGTTATACCTTTTCATGATTTACATAGAATTTGAGGCGAATTGAGGAACGAAAAGAACCACGATAAGGAAGTTTCGATTGGGAAAAATGCGGACTGTACTGTAGGAGAAATACATTGAATAAATTCCTATTTAAATGGTAAAACGCAAGTCTCTCTTCTCCAGCATTTGCACTGCCATTGCTGGCGAATATTGTAGGAAAATAACATTCATTTGAGGACTTTGAGGAAAAATGCTTAAATTTATATTGTTTTCCATTTTCTCTATCGAACAATATATTGATGAGAGGGTGGATTTCGATAAACTTCAATAGTTAGGAAATGTAGAGAAGAAAAGGAACGAGAGAAATGAAGATCTATTCAGCACATGTTTTGTGTGAAAATAAAGCACAAATTGGCATTCTAACCATATTCACTCGGTGAAACAATGCATGAAAGAGATGAACTTTTCCACTGAATTAATTCATTTTGCTTGAAGACCGAAGAAACTTCCTCGGTTGAAGCTTTTCTCATTCAATTCATTCGTCGCTCGTCTAGACGGATTTTTCTATGAATGATATCTAAGGACAATCCAGAATAAAAGAAAAAAAATACCTGAAAGCTTATTTAACTTGTTGCTACTTTGCATAGCCGCATTGTCCACTCGACCATCATCACTCTCAATTTTACGATTCAATTCCACGGTTCTACATTGCCCGGGAAAGTTGCACTCTTGATTTCATTCACGTTAGGAAAGGCGAACAGACAGAGAGAGAGAGGGAAAAGTTTTATCTATCATTCTCCGCCTCTGCACTGGACCAAAAACTTTTGGATCGCTTGCAGATGAATGAGGAACAGTGAAATGGTTTCAAACTATTTTAGAATGGAGTCAATGATGACTGCTTAATTACTGTTCCACGATGAAAAGCTGTGCCATTGAATGCTCAGGATTATCGTGAAAATACAGTGGAAATTCCTGTAGATTTTTCTTTTTTTTTCTTGAATTTATTATCCTAAGAAATATGTCTGTGTATTTTTCAGTTGCAATGCAAGACGGATTGCTGTTATGGCAGCGTAATGTTTCCTATGCTCGTTGGCGTTGAACCTCGCAAGCCGGAAGTTGTCCTGGAACATGCTAAGGATTTCTTGGAGCAGTACTTTACATCGATTCGCCGGTGAGAATTCCTGAAATATACACTTTTTTTTCCTTTTTCCCCCAGATAGTTTCATGAGTATAACATAATTTCATAATTTGCTTCACATCCGATATGAGACTTGAACTTTAAATTGGGTTTCTCTCTTAGCGTACACGACATAGTCAACGTAACTTTATAGGAATATTTGATTTATCAAGTTTTGCATAATGAAATATGTATGTTGAGTTTTAATTTTAGTAGACACTTGAGAGAGCTTTTAAGCAAAGGGAAAGCAATTGGTAGAAATTCATGTATTTAACACCTGAGATTTTGAAGTTTTCTAGCATTACGCGATTATGTGGAAACGATCGAGAACAAGTTTATTTATTAGTTTAAAAGTTTCATGCGAAAAGGAGATTTGATGGAATTTTCGACATTTTAACAAATTTCGAAACAACCTCACGTACACAATGTGAAGACGTGGTCACAAACAGATCTGTTGAAAAGCTTAAGAGGATGTCGAGAGTAATCAGAAAATAGCTCGCTTGTCTAAATCAGTCAATTCTGCGTATCTTTCTTTAATATTTTAGCAATCTGTCAACCTTGTCGTGTTCTAAAGATTTCAAGCCTACAAAGTCACCTTTCGGAAGCAACTTTTGCCACTCTCAAGGGGAAGCACTTCAACTGATTTGTACACCAATTCTGATCATAATATCTTCCCCTTAGCAAAAGATGTTTAAAAAAAACACGTCTTTCTTCTTATGTCACTTGCTATTTGGCATTGATTCCAAGAGATGGATCATATAATGCGCAATATCACTTTGAAATACACTCAGAAGACTAAAAATTGACTTACAGATATTTCTCTCTGTGCAACCTCAAAAGTTATTGCAATGGGAAATTCTCCCTTTGAGAGCGTTGACTAACTTTATGCTAACTGTTGCACAACTTTATTGTCGTCACATTTACTCCAATTCCTTTAAAGCAATTCCTTTTGCAATAGAAATTCCAATTGAGATTTCAGCTTAGTTTTGCACAATTTTTCACAATCATATTTAAAGTCACAATGGTTGCAAACAACCAGGAAAAGAATTGACGATGAAAGCTGTTGTAAGTACATATTCTGGTGAAGCCTGTGAGAGGAAAACTTACACTGTGGCAAATCGTGCATCAAAAGAAGTGTTGCCTTGTGCGAAGGAACTGTTCAAGTCAAGTTGGAGTTCACTTGGATTGGCAAGAGTGTAGGAAAAGACGCGAGAGACACACTTTAATTCTGTGTTGAGATGGAATTTGGAGGAGTACACTTGATACACATTATTCTGAATGCCTCGCTTTTTGCTCAAGTCTGTTTACCATAGAGATTTACCTCAGTAATTCTCTTTATCTCACATGCCCTCCCACCCGCTGTCGCACGACAAATGTTTATTTTCTCATTCAACCCATATTATTCGTATGAATCAATTCATATTGAATCGGAGACGGAGGCAAGTAAAAATCTGCTGAAGGGAAAGAGGAGATGATACGTTCTGACTGTAGAATTAACAAATATGAGAGGATTTTCTTTATCTTTGCTCCGCATCTTTCTCTTTCTCTCCCGCATTTTCCCTATTATTGAGAAGACTATGGCAACATTCATAGCCTCAATCCACGGTCGAGGATCATTTTGCCGATGTGGATGAATTGGGGAAAAATTAATACAAAAAAAATATCCAATATAAGCATGCCCGTCTGCTCTGCAATATAATAATACCATCATTCTGACATTTGGCCAGGGCGGATTTAAGGCCTGACCGCCAGAATGGGAGTCCAAAATCGATGACTCACCGCTGCATCCAAAGCCACAGTCACCAAATGCATACGCGGCAAATTGTTATAATAATTGAGTCAAGAGAATTTCCCTCAATCTTGCATTTTCCTGCCAAGCAGAAATTGAATAAAAATTTCATTGATCTAATAACAGGGCGTCTAGTGTACATATGTATTTGGTTAGATGCTGTCGATGCTCCGTTTGATAGCACAAAGAATATCTTACACATGCATTCTTGATACGTAGAATTCTGCCCCGGAGGCAACATTTAACCGTGTGTGTCTCGTGAAAATTGAGGAAATTCTTCGGAAGATGTTGACTCTCGAATTTCCCGAGTGACATTGATTTTCCTGATTGATAACACACAAGCGCTCAGTTGATAATATTTGTGTTGTCTGAAATCAGACACATTAATTGAAAGGGTCCTTCACTTGAAGTGAGGATTTACCTTCTGTCAATGTGAGTGACGCGAAGGCTCCACATCACAAACCTCCGCAGCCAAGTTTCGTCAAAAATTTGGCATGAGTTGTAACTAAAATCGTGGCTTTCGTAACTCGAGAGAACAGTAAAATTCATCCCATTTGCTCTATATATACATCCGCCCCACACATTTCTCGCCTAATGAGGGCCGGGAAGGTAATAAAATCAATAGCACGCAAGGGTGAGGGTAATTGGTTAAATACATTGTAAATGATGGTAGTAAAATTTGTACAAATAACTCGCATTCCGCGTCCCTCGAGTTCTTTTTTAATTAATTCTACAATTTTATATCATCACCTCTTGAGAGTGATACTCTTGTTATAACACCCCAGCAAATTGGCAACGAGAGTGCCTTTCACACCATAATAAATCGCTATAATGAAGATTAGGGGTAAGTGGGGCAGCTTCAGATTCAAAATGCTGTTCCAACTTTAGGATTTTTTCTTGAAAAATCGGCTGAATATATTGAAATGATCACAACGCTCAAATAAACTCTCGTCTATTGAGCTTCAGAAAATGCCTTTCATTGGGCATTAAAACTGATCGTTTTTCCTCTAAAGGAGAATGAAAATAATATTGTAATTTATCTGAAACTGCCCCGCACGGGGATGTTTCGGATTGCTCTGGGGCAGTTTCAGATTTTCACTTATATTTACCATAAATTCCATTGTGGAATTGTAGAATCGCGGGCAAATGATCACTTTGGTTTCTATTCTACGCACTAACACTGTTTATTTCGCTAAAAATCGCCTTTAAAGTAATATTTTCGCGACTTTTCTGGACCCTTGCACGCACTGTCAAAATGTCTGAGCGAAAAGCAAGTTGCCCGTCATTTTTCCTGTATCGCAACGCCACCATGCGTGAGTGGTGGCAACTTGACGCGCAGTCCGCGCAAAATGTGCTTCTCGAAATTTCTGCTCTAATCAGTGATTTTCGCGTGTATTTTCTCACTTTTCACTAAGAAGTCGTTTAACGTGATGAAGCAATGCAGCACAGAACGGCACTTTGAAAAATCTTCAATATTTGCCACAAGAAAATTTCGACCGTGATGTTGCGTCAGACTGTCAGAGCGCGCTGTTGTCAGTCCGTGGCGATCCGAAACTGCCCCGTGGGCAGTGTTTGTGCATTTTCCACCACCCACTGAAAGGACCGTGATCAGGAGGAAAAGTTCGGGCACATTTAGAATCTCTACTTAACTCTCAATAACCTTTGATTGTGTTTCACGCGATTTGTGGCTTTTTTAATGGAGAAAACACGCAATCAATTCGGCAGCAAAATTCTAGTTTGTGAGTGATTTTCAATTTTCACTTATTTTATCTAAACAGTAAAGGCTATCCTGAGCAAATTTTCGTCAATTGTAGTCCTTAAGGACTACAAACATTATGTGAAGACCAGGAATTTATTCATGTAAAAATCTCTGAGAAAATTAAGAAATCTGAAGCTGCCCCAATCTGAAGCTGCCCCATTTACCCCTATTTGACATGACATTTAATTGGAAACAAATATTGTAATAGGTTGAGTGGGAGAAAATTGCCATTATGCTGAATTAACATACATACCATTTTAGTAATTACGATCAACGCAACCCCCTCATTATATGTAATGTATATCTGTTTAACGTTTACACTCTGTTAAAGTCTCCATTCATCGCTACCATAAATGCACTAGAGTCGAAATGCTGATAACAATTTATTTAGATGAAACTAATATTACACATTTACCACTTGTTTCCCATTTGCCAATATCTCATCGTCTATACAAAATTCAGTGCTCATTGCTTCGCTTGTATGCAGTTCACGATAGGCAAATACATGTTTTTATGTACACTAAACCTGCATCTCATCTGTGCTATTCAATATACACAAACACTTTACCACCTTTTGTGCTTATCGAAGCTCAAATTTAATTTTCACCATTAATAAATTGCTGAAAAGCGTTTGACACTGAAACCATCGTTAGATTTCCACGACGAGCTTGAAGAAAATGGTTGATCAATCGGTTTGTGGGTTGTTTCCATGCTGAAATGGCTCAAATATGTTGTGCATAGTGTTCAGCAATGAAATGAAGAATGAAGCTTTTTCCAAAAGTGATGAAAAGCTCATAATCTGTCTGCTAATAATGTTATTGGAAAAATTAGGCTCTGTTTCAATCATTTGAATGTATTTTCGCGACCGTTCTGTCTGTTTATTGCTCTGCGAGCACATTGAGTTCTTGTCTTGAAATTTGATGCATTTCATTAAAAAGTTCAAGTCCAAATCGGTCATCTAAGCCATTTGCAACTTTGTACACGAGAATTCTCATTATATTGGTGGAGAATTAACACATGAATAATCATCATTACAATTTTTCCATTCTCATTTTCCGGCGGATTTCAAGGCTCAAGTCCCCGGCTCACGAGGCTCGTTGGCAACAGGTGCAGCACGATGTGGAGACAACTGGGCAGTATCAATTGACGGAAACTGAATTAATTTTTGGCGCCAAAATGGCCTGGAGGAATGCAAATCGCTGCATTGGACGCATTCAGTGGTCGAAATTGCAGGTAATTTGCTGGCAATTCATCGCATGGGTTTTTTTTATCGCGATAGCGTAATACAATTTTCACACCATTCATGAGATAATTTCACACTCTCCCAACTTCTATGCTATATAACAACTTCCGAATGTGATTATTTCAGGTGTTCGACTGTCGATTTGTGACGACAACTAGTGGCATGTTCGAAGCAATATGCAATCACATCAAATATGCAACAAATAAGGGCAATATTCGTTCGGCGATTACGATTTTCCCCCAGAGAACTGACGGAAAACACGATTATCGGGTGTGGAATCCTCAACTTGTGTCCTATGCTGGATATCGCGAGCCTGACGGTCGTGTCATCGGTGATCCGGCCAATTTGGAGTTCACTGAGGTATTTCAGAGTCCACCCTCAACCACTTGTGTGCTATTTTGCTTCACGAATTTGTGCATTCGCTTCTCAGTTCTGCCTGAAATTGGGCTGGAAAGGACCGCGCGGCGAGTGGGACATTTTGCCGATGGTGCTGTCTGCCAATGGACACGACCCCGAATACTTTGAATATCCACCAGATCTAATCCTCCAAGTGCCCATTACACATCCCACGTAAGTCAATTACATTCGGAATTCCATTAGACCCATTCGCAGCACTTCGCCATGAGCGTCAAGTGCAATTGAATGCTGGGCGTTTAAGTGATGTCCAAAGCCAATGGTATTTATTGATGAATTCAATGAATTGAGAGATATTTCATGACGTGCGCGAAAGGAAATTGCACGCAACTATTGATGCAACCAATTGTTTGGTCGCCCAAATGTAATTACTGAATATTCCAGTTACGAATGGTTTGCCGACTTTGGACTGCGATGGTACGCTCTTCCGGCCGTGTCCGGCATGCTATTCGACTGTGGTGGCATTCAATTTACGGGCTCGCCGTTTAGTGGTTGGTACATGTCCACAGAAATTGGCTGTCGCAATTTGTGTGACTCATATCGGCGCAATATGTTGGAGGTAATCACGAGTGCAGAAGCCCTCGAGGCTGAACGCACTGTCCTGATGGGGGTGCTAATAACTTGATATTTCACCCCTCTTCACAGCCCATCGCCCTCAAAATGGGCCTCAACACACGCAATCCCGCCTCGCTGTGGAAGGACAAGGCTCTGGTGGAGGTGAATATTGCAGTCCTGCACTCCTTCCAGTCCAACAACGTCACCATCGTGGACCACCACACGGCCAGTGAGAGCTTCATGAAGCATCTGGAGAATGAGAATCGCCTGAGGAACGGATGCCCGTCGGATTGGGTGTGGGTCGTGCCGCCCATGTCCGCCTCCACCACGGAGGTGTACCACCAAGAGATGGCCAACTACCTCATGAAGCCCTCCTTCGACTACCAGGAGTCGCCGATCAAGACTCACATTTGGAAGAAGGGTCGCGATCAGTCGAAGACCAAGAAGCCCAAGAGGAAGTTCCACTTTAAGCAGATTGCCAGGTAAGACGCCAGATCAGTAGCATTTCTTGGCACTGCTGACTCTTTATGAAATTGAATATTGCAGGGCTGTGAAATTTACATCGAAACTCTTCGGACGAGCTCTGTCGCGTCGAATTAAGGCAACTGTGCTATTCGCCACGGAAACGGGAAAGTCAGAAGCTTACGCCAAAAAATTGACCGAACTCTTCGCACATGCATTCAATGCTGAGGTGAGAACTTCTATTCTTATGCATGCCTATTGGGAAATATTCGATTTTTCTGCGCTAGAGTGCAAATATGCCATGGAGAATATATCGCACGTACTCAAATGATATTAAATGCCGAATTAAAATTCAACCATCACACTCAGAGTACAATTGCCAGAAGTGCATCACATGAAGTGCACTCATAAATTTATATGACATATCCTTTTTCCAATTTTCGAAATCGCTTTTCACTTCAATATGAACTTTATAAGGATCGAAAAGCATATGTTTTGAAGAGGCTTTTAATCAAATAATAAAAATCGTGAATAAATTCAAATTATTCAAGTAAATAATTCATTTAAAATTTAATCGACAATAAAGGCATTACAAAGAGATCAAAGCATCAGAGCATTTGTGAAAAGGCTATGATGAAAAATTTATAGTAATTTTTTATCGTTCAATAGATTTATTGTTGCGTATTTTTATTCAAAATATACTGTATTTCTGTGAAACATTCAGCTTTGGCCTGTCCAAAAAAATGACAAAAATTCATGCATATGCTTTCATTAAACTAAAAGTATGCAGAACCCAAAATTACATATGAATGATGACAATTTGTAGAATCTTAGGCTAGCATAGAAATATGTACATACATTTGCGCATATTTGCAACCTGTCAATGCTGCTATTTGCATATTTACATCATCATTAGAATAATTGAGAACTATGTTGCTATATATTCTGCATTATTGTGATGAAATGAAATCAATAATTAAATTTTCCATCTTCAATGTGACAACTTTTCTCTCTTTTCTTCAATGAAGGTTTACAATATGTCCGAGTACGATGTGTCATCAATAGAGCATGAAGCGCTAATTTTGGTTGTTGCTTCCACGTTTGGCAATGGAGATCCACCGGAAAATGGTGAGGTAAGCAAAATATCTGCACACCAAACTTTATTAACTTCCTCTGAAGATTCATGTATTTATAAGCATTCTCAATGACACCGAAATCCTCTGCCTCTGCAATTTTCTCTCCGTTCAATGCGAATCTAACTTAACGACACGGAAAATTGCAGTGTGGGAAAAATGTGGAGGGCAAAGGCATTCACACCCACTCGCAAGGTATTAAGTATCTTGCATTCGAAGCGACAAATGACGGTGTTTCATATAAAAAATTCCGCTCACATTGTAACCCTTGTAGCCAATGAGGTACGCAAAGTCAAGCAGAAAATTGTTGACTTAAATCGATGCGACAGACGTGAAGAAGTGTTGAAATCATATAAGACGAGATGGCACCGGAGGATATTGACAAGGAGCAGTGAAGTAATGCTGTATAGGATTTGTGTTTTCAGTGTGTAAGAAAGTGTGCGGGGAAGTTGATGTTCAATCACGAATTTCCGAATCACCCTCGCTCCCCCGTTCAGCTGTATTGTATATGACACTTCATCATATACAACAAAACATCCCACCAACAATTTCCTTCCTCTTTATGGCTATATTTAATCTCTATATCTTTCACCTCTCCATCCACCCTGTCTCATCCATTTCCTCGAGCACCGACTCCACCCACGGCAACCGTCTTTCGCCTATACTTTCTTCTCGCCCAGCCAAGTGACGTGCCGTGGAACCTCAGAGGCTGCCTGCGTACAAGGATTGTTGATGCGCCCGGATTACAAACAACAAATTGTTTCTTGTCCTCCGGCACATTGGCATATTATCTCCCAACATTACCATCTTTATTCCGCAGACATGACAACACGCGCGGTGTGAGGAAGGGAAGCGAAGTGGAAGTGACGCGTTGTGTCCGCTTTTCCCTTCGTCTTGAGTTACAATCTCAGACCAATGCCCACACGCTGCGGATCTCGTTCAGTGAAATATGAATTTCCTCATCTTGTTGCACAATGCAATTTATCGGATTGTATCAAATTGGATTGGCATTGATTCTTTTTCCAATGATATTCACTCTATTTCCCTGGCTGCAATAACATTCAGCGTGGCGAAGGAAACTCTAAAGATCCCTGTTGTCGATTTAAGGGTTGTAAAAGTTGGAATATGAATGAAAATTTCACAGTTTTAGTAGTGGAAATTTTCCCCAACATTGAGACCATTTCCGTTGCATTGCATAAATTCTTACACTTCGGTGACTGTCAATCGATGGTAAATAGGAAGATTACTGTCTGGTTTCACAGTGCATTTATCAATTGGCTGAAAACACAAATGTTCCGCTTCCTCAATAAACATACATTTATTGTGGAAATGCTATTTATTTAGTAGGCAATACAAATTCTACCTCTGTTATTTCTTCCCTGAATGAAAAACATCATTTTTCATAGATGCCTTCGCCACACCCTTGGATCTCATTAAATTGGATGATGTATTTTTGTCAATGTCATGTTAACATTAAAAATTGCTTCTTTTTCAGTCCTTCGCTCATGATTTATATGCAATGAAAGTACGAGAAACCGGAGGTGGTGAATCGAGCAACGGATTCAAGTGAGTAAATAATTTTCTGTCACACATTTCACTGTCTTGCACCGCAAGGAAATGTATTTTTCTTGTCTCAGTTGCAAGAATCTCAGCAATACGGTGTTGAAGATGCAAAATTCACTGTGATATACGATTGTTGACACACTAATCCCTTGATGTATAACTGAATGATAATATTTGGCGACGTTGTCCTTTTGCCACGTATAATTCCCTGTATTTAATACATGTCACATTTCTCACTCTATGAGATATTTGCCGTCATTGCATTGGCAGCTTCCTCTTCAGATTTTCTGATTGGAATCGAAAAGGCATCAGCCAGAAGTAAAACATCGCATGAATATCTTTGTTGGTGGAAATCGAGAAATGTGTGTGCAGAACAAGTAAACGAACTTGATAAGCTCTTCACGTGAAAGGTCCCTCACACCCAAATCACGCCCAACTTCACATTCCGCCCAGCATGAATGACACTCCAGGATATGCCACAGATAGAGAGCCTAAGAAGGATGAAAATGAGATGAGAGTCGGAGATGCCATAATCCAATTACCAATAATTGCCAACTATGTACATAATATTTGTCCAAAGGGGAAAAGTGGGGCGGGGCACAATGAGAGTCTATACACTCCATGTAGATATCATTGGTGAACATGAAGTCAAACACGAGAGGAGAACTATCAATGTTCCTCCAGGAAATTGACCCTTAAATAGTGTCAAGTCTGAAACTTTCACCTCAATTCAGGACATCACGTCGACTAATTACAACTTTTCTTTCGTGTCAATATTAAAGTTAATTTTCCTCCCGACTGAAAATTGATAATGACATTTCGAAACTATTTCAGGGGTTGAGAAAAGTCAGGAATTTGCATAATTTAAAATGGAAATATTGTTCCCAGAATATTACTCAGATGGATAAAGGGATGTTGCTGGATTTAGTTACTTTCAGGTGATTCGAAAATTGGATACAAAAGCTCCCTTTAAGCATATATTTTAGACTAGAGAAGTTTGGTGACTGCTGAAAGAAAATGTGAGTTAGATATTAAAATCTTAGCCACAATAATACATCTGTTTTGCTTTTGCAAATTCATAGTTATAATTATTTAAAGTTAAACTAGATAAACTCAGTGGCACTCAGAGGACATGTTTCTTAGAAATCCTTCGTTTAGAGACTCCTCGAGGTGACAAAACATGAGAAAATAATGTTTCTAGCCAAGCACAAAAATTGATGCCGCTGAATCTGGGTAGAGTTTCTCAAAATTTAGCATAAACACCATCAAAGCACAGTTGCAGAGCTGAAGAAAATGTACAGTCAACTTTTATCAAACATTTGCATCCAACAGACTATAAAGTAGTTTATTCAATCTTCACTAGCACATATCCACCCACATAGTTTATTGTGCGCTGTGCCATTTCAGTTGTGCCAAGGGAGGAACGAGGGTAAAATGAGCTGTATTCGTAAACATACGGAATATCATTGTGATTTGTTTAGGAGAAATTATGAGTGATACAGAAAATTCATATCACTTTTCCAATTTAGCATAAAAAGTTATGTATAAATTTTCCCGCGAATATGATAAATTGTTGATTGCTGAGCTTCAGACATACAATATATGCAAATCAGAGTGGAGCAGTGCGAAAGTGGGTGAAAAGGGGTGAAAATGTGCATCTGATGCAAGTTGTTGGGATTCTTGCAAGAGTCATAATAATTAATTATCTTGCCCATTTGCAGAGATCATGAATAAAATATGGGAATGGAAATGATATCTTCTTTCCAGGGTTCCCGCCTCGTCCAAGTCATTCATCAAGGCGAACTCGCGCAAGGACAACATTGCCGATGGCAAGATGGACAGGTTGGACTCCGTGAGAGGTGGATCCGCGCCAGCGCCCGAAAATCTCAGCAACGAGGCTTTCGGACCGCTGTCCAATGTCCACTTTGCCGTATTCGGTCTGGGCTCGACGGCCTATCCCAACTTCTGCGCCTTCGCCAAGTACGTGGACAATTTGCTGGGCGAGTTGGGCGGCGAGCGCATCATGGAGATGAGCACAGGTGATGAAATCAGTGGTCAAGAGCAGGAGTTCAACAAATGGGCGCCGGAAATCTTTAGAGTCGCGTGCGAGACTTTCTGCCTGGACTCAGACGAAACCACGTCGTCGTGGCAGGCCGGCAAGGAGACCATCACGGAGAGCACAGTGCGCTTCACACAGGCCAAGAGCATTCCCGCAATGGACAATGCCATGGGCACTTTCCACCATCGCAAGATAGTCATTGGCAATCTGAAGAAGGATCCCACGAATCTCCAGTCGGGCGTTTCGGAACACTCAGAACGCATGACAATCCTCGTGGAGATTGATGCAAAAGGGGTAAATCGGCTATTCTGTGCGACGTCAGAAACCTCAATTAACTCTCATGTTTATTTAATATGTTTCTCCCTTCGCAGATTAATTATGAACCTGGTGATCACGTGGGAATCGTTCCTGAGAATAGACAAGACATCGTCAATGGGATTATTGAGCGACTGGCGGGAGTTGAGAATCCTGATGCACCTCTTCAGCTTGAGGTGCTCAAGGAGAGTCACACGCCAAACGGTGAGTGTACTTAATATTTAAACATGTCAAACCCTTCTTCTTGTACAATTTACCTCTGGCGTTATATTGAGAGGGTTGTGAGATTATGTTTGTTCTTACATGCTTACTTTAGGACCAAAAAGATCTCCCTTCGGTTTGTCGCACTTTTTTTTCCATGCGCACGTGTAAATGGCCTAACTTTCCTACCCTTTTCCCGCAGGAATTGAACAATCATGGGTTCCCCATGACAAAATCCCGGCCTGTTCGCTGCGAACTCTTCTCACTCGCTATCTGGACATCACCACTCCGCCCTCCCGGCAAATCCTCACACTTCTCTCCACATACTGCAAGAGTGCCGAGGACGAGAAGAAGCTGAATGACTTGGCTAACGACTCGGCTGCCTATGAAGACTGGCGTTACTATCGCATCCCACATCTGCTGGAAGTGCTCCAGGAATTCCCCTCGTGCAAGCCAACGGCCGCTGTTCTTGTGGGACATCTCATGCCGCTGCAGCCGCGCTTCTACTCGATATCCTCCTCGCTGAGAAAGCACAACAATGAGGTGCACTTGACAGTGGCGATCGTCAAGTATTGCACGCAAGACGGCAAAGGTCCTGAGCACTATGGCGTCTGCTCAAACTATCTGAATGAGCTCAAGGCCGGCCAAGACGTGTACTTCTTCGTGCGAAGTGCACCGAGCTTCCACATTCCCAAAGATGTGACCAAGCCCATCATACTGATTGGCCCCGGCACGGGAATTGCGCCCTTCAGATCCTTCTGGCAAGAGTGGGAAGTGCAGCAGAAGGAAGGCAAAGCACCGTCAAAAGTGTGGCTCCTCTTCGGATGTCGCAACAACAATCTGGATCTCTATCGAGAGGAGAAGAAGGCGCTGAAGGAGAAGAAAGTGCTCGATCAGGTCTTCCTGGCGCTGTCACGGGAGAAGAATGTCCCCAAAACTTACGTGCAGGACATCGCTCTGCAGGAAGCTGACTCCATCTACCAGCTGATCGTCGTGGAGCAAGGACATGTGTACGTCTGCGGTGACGTCACGATGGCAGAACATGTCTACCAGACGCTCAGGTGAGGAAAAGCACTTGAATTTGCGTAGATTCATGCTGAATGCCTTACAATTGACTCTCTGCCTCTTATCCAGGAAAATCATCGCCAATAAGGAATCAATTCCAGAGAGTGAAGCTGAGAAGTTCATGCTGCAATTGAGGGTAAATAATTCCATTGAATTTGAACCTTTACATTTAGTCACGAAGTCAGTGATTCCCAATGTTCACATTGAGCTTTTTTCTGACACTCTGGCATTGAAACATGGTCAAATATTTTGACACAAATCAATTGATTTGACGCGAGAAAAAATAGATTTACATTCATTCCGTGTGTCAAAGTCTTTCGAAAAACATATTTCAAAATAGAGCCGCCGAAAAGATATGTGAAGTGCATAGTCATGAATATAAATTGCATAAATGCTAAAGACAGTGTCATTTCTCATTGCAGGACGAGAGTCGTTACCATGAGGACATCTTCGGTATCACACTCAGGACAGCGGAAGTGCACAATAAATCACGAGAATCTGCTCGAATCCGCATGGCGTCACAGCCCTAAATGACAGGCACTTGCGGAGCATTTTAGCACATTTTCCGTGGTTATTTACCTTATAATTACCACCACTGAATAACTTCACATTATGGTAGTTAAATTGAATTCTATAGAGACCAGTCGTGAATAAGGTACTTAATATCAAACATAAACTCTATCATTACTCATATTCCTAACATTTTAAAGCGTAAGCACATCGAAAATTGAGAGTAATTAAGGTTGAAAGGAATTATGCATATTCAAATTGTCAGATTTTATCAAGATATTATTTTAATAACTATATGTAATCTTCACTGAGGTATTTTATTGCATACACTTTGGGCAAAATGGGGTGGAGGATGATAAAGTGGAGGGTGAGATTGTTTGTGAAGTGTAAGAAACTCAGGATTTTGCGTTTGGAAGACAACAAAATATGAAGCGCGCTATCGACAAAACAAAAAAGACATGTTATTGTTTATTCACAGTGAAAAGTTATGAGAATTGCTTCTCAAATGACGAGGAAAACCCTTTCACGAATAATGTTTGGGAAAGTGTCCTGAAATTAACGCATAGTTTATCACTCTCTCTCTCTTCATCTTACCTTAAATTCAATTTAAATTCTTCAAGGTCCAATTTAGTTTGACCTGAAGGAACACTTTAGTTACTGACATATCTCTTCCTTTGTGGATATTTGAATAATCCTGTGGTTATGTAGGGGAAAATGCAATTATAACAATATAGTGACCATAGCTGAAAATTAAAGTGCATCTCATGCAATTTCTCACCAGCAATCCAAAGCGCTAAACCTCACTTTAACTACAACTTGGAGAAAGATGCAAAAAATGCCCTTCGAGAAAGAGTGTCTGAGCTGTAGAAAATATTCTGCATAAAATGGCATTTCAATTAAGTTTAAAGGCAATTAAGTCGGTGCAGAGGAAATTTTTAGGTGAAACACGCGAAAGAGCACACAATAAATCGAGGTGAGAGAGGTGAAAGAATGTGAAGAAATCAATTGTGTATTCTTCTCATGCGTTCTAATAATCCACAAAATATCAATTAAATATCACAAGTTAGTAGGAGTTAGTAAAGTGGCGGGATATATTTTGCAGAATATCAACAAAGAGTGGGATAAATTTCACAATTTTAAAGTAATCCTTGTAGAAATCTTCAGAGTTTTACATCTCAATTGTACTGTATCAAAATAAAAAAAATGTAACAAAATGGTATACATAACAATAATAAATCTTTTTTCTTGAGAAAAAACATGCCACGAATTCATTTGTGTTAAGCACAGAATGACAGTGAAAATATCTGATGAGTCAATCAGAAGAATCTGTCCTTCGTGGTATGTTCTTAATCATTCCGAGAGCCGCGGAGGAATGCTCGACTAATCGCACTGGATGTGAGCGAGAGAGCTACGCGGTGGGAGAGAGAGAGCAGATGCATCTTGCGGAATGCCGATGGAATTTTATTGCTGGCGCCAACATCCCAGGAGCCGCGCTGCCTCTGGCCGTGTGTGCACAAAAAAGGATGGAGAAATGAATGTCTTTTGATGTCATTTACAGTTACCTATCGCCGATCAACCGGGTAATCAGTCCAATAAGTCCGCCGACAGCGTCTTTCACCCTCGTCGAAATGCGGACAATGCCAATCTTTCGCCGTGATGAAGATGGAGAGACTCCGCGATTGAGGTGAGAGATATCAAATGGACTTTTGTTTGCGATTACCACCTTGAAATGCACTAATTGATTCACATTTCTGAATACTTCGCCACTAATTAAGGCACTCATTTAACTTATAATGTATTCGGCTACATTGAGTTATTAAAGAAAGAGAAAGAAATTTACATAAAATTCGCCACACAACTGAAGACGAGTTTTTCAGCGGTCAAATTACTTTCTTGAAGAGGATTTCAATCGCGATCTGAATACTGAAAAAAAAGTGGTATAAGAATATCAACTCGAAGTGGAGGTGAAAATAGACAGCGGCGAGTCAGAAATGAAGAGAGAAAGAAGTGCTCAAGTAAGTCCAGAAGCTTGAGCAACGCTGAAAATAACACAATGCTGAAGACATGCTATTTGGCTCTCTGCAGGCCGGCATCCGTGCTGTAATGATCACATTGGAACACCTTCCAAGTGTGTGAGGTTGAAGCCACAGAAGAGAGCCGTTGGCCATTGATAATCAACTATCAACTCTTGGAATTCAATCTTCTTGCTTCTTTCATCATTCAAAGATGCCACTCACCGTCATCATAAAATCCGCGGACTTCTATAAATAGAGATGTGTGGAATTGGATAAATTTTCTCTCTTGCACGTTTTATCAATTAGTGCAAAAAAAGCACCTCATAATGCCGAACAAGAAAACTGAAGCAGCTGAAATGTTCAATGAACTTCATTGTCTCCATTGTGGTCACGAAGCAAAAAAAAAACGCATGGAATTCCACTGGTAGTGAAATATGATTGAAATGCTGATTTGCAAAGTCTCTGCGCGAAATTGTATACCTTATTCTCATGCCGATAGAGCTGAATTCACTTAAACGAGTCTGAAGGTTGATTTTCGCAGACCATTTGGTGACTTCTGCTCTAAGCAAGAATGCCCACAGAAGAGTCATTGATATTTGTCACTCGCGCACTTTTTTCGGCTCTACGATGCGATCTCATCAGAAATTCCATTTCCGTCCACTCTGGGACAGAATTATGGCCCATGTCACAATTGCGCAAGTGACTCAAGCACAAACACACACACACAAACAGTATGAGACCGCAAAAATCGCGCAATTATGCCTTTCCTCAATCAAAATTACTATCTTCTTCGGCCATCGTGTGACACACATTACATTTCCACATTGGAAACGCTTTAAGAGCATCTCTGCAAAAGAGTATGACTTTCAGAATCCGGACAACTGTCCGACCTTCAGAGGTCGCGTGAATTTCTTCAAAGATTGGCAAAATTATTCAAGGAAATTATTTGAAAATATTACGCAATGACAGCTGAAATATTAGGAACACAGGTTTAATTTAAGCAATTTTTAAGAACCCCAAATTTCATATTACTTCATAAATAGTAATCATACTGAGAGTTTGCAAATCTTGAGCTTTCTCGTGATATTTCTATTTAGTGAAAGACTTTAATTACAAAGGAGTTCAAGAATTGGGAATTTTCGATATCCAACAGAAAAGTTTATACTGTAAAATATTTGAGTTTTATGAGTAAAAATAAGTATCAATTATTTTGTCAATCTTATGTATTTTTTTAGTCATTGAATACGCATTCAATTTTTAATCTCGCCACTAGAAGTATTATTGGGAAAAAAAGTTACTGCAACTTTTTCAAGTCATTAATATGTTCAATTATTGCATTATTGACTCATCCCACGCACGCACATCTTCTTCTTAAACACTGGATAATTTCAGGTGATTGAGAGGCCGCATCGATAGCTATATAGTCATGTAAAACAAATCTAGAGACGTGGAGTTTCATAAGTTGCAGCATTTTGCAGCAAATGCAATTCAACACAGCGCTGAAGAGTTTCACAAGTGGCCAAAAAGTTCACCACGCGACATCGCCAAGTGCATCTTTTGCTGGCCAAGTCATCACGAATGCGAGATTTGCGAATTTCTGCGCTTTTATTTGTATTGGCATTAGTCACTGACCGGCCGGGTAACATTGACACATTTCTTGGGTTGATTGTTGCCTTATAAGAGTGTGAGAGAGTGTAAGAAATGCCCAGAGAAAAGGTGAGCCAGAGAGGGAGAGAGAGAGAGAGAGAATGGAGAGAGAGGTGAAAATGAATGAAATTCCTCTCCCACTACGCCGCACTTCGCTGTGTCTACTCAACCGTCGCACATTGACGAATTCGACTGGAGTTCGTCCCTATAATTGGGCTCCTTGAATCGCACATCCTGGCACGAGGATCGACGGCAGCTGTTGGGTGTCAATTGGCAGATGGCGCGCGTGGGTGTGGTGCGATTTGGGATGAGCAGGTGAGGCGAGAGAGCGCGCGTTTCTGAGACAATTAAGCCAAACAAGCCACCCTCAACCGCTTCGAGACCCTCTCGCCCGTGCCCTGAATAACTTAATGTGAAAATTACTTTTGAATTATTTCTACTATTCCCATGTGAGTTTGTGAGCTGGTGTGCGAGTGTCTGTTAAATATTGAAGCTCTTCTCTCTTTGTCTCTCTCATCGCCTTGGAACGTGTTTCAATTCGATCGGGAAACTTTTGCAGTTTTTCAAATTAAAGCCACTGTCAGTACGCTGTGAGCATTCACACTGTTAACATCAATCTTCTTCGGCCTGTCCGCGACTCCTCAGCACACATTTCCACTTATCAAACATCAACTGGAAAGGTGTTATGAAATTGATAATTTCTCTGGCGTCTGTGGAAATTCTCACTGCGGGTTTTCCACCAACAAACTAGGCAATTTTCACAGTGCACCGTGAGAGTGAAAGAGAGCGAGAAGAGAGTGACAAAAGTGTCGAGAGAATTCAATTTTTTTTTTATATATATTAACCCAATGTTGACAGAAAATCCACTGAGTTGAATTTTGAAATTGAGCGAAGAAATTGCAAATACGCGATCAAATAATTGCCATTTTGTTATCCCACTTCAATCACAGAAATTTTGTTAAATGTAGTGAGTGACTTTTATTGTTATAATTTCATATACACATTCGCAATTTTCATTTCCACTTTGGTTGTGTGTTAAGTGCAAAAGAGTTCAATTCCATTCATTACAGCGCAAAGTCAGGTGAAATTGTGCGAAGTTTTTCATCTCCAACACAATAATAATATTAAAAAAAAACCGACGAGAGACAATATATAAATGTAAAAGAGAAGACGCAAAATAGCAAATAAAAAGGCACAAACACAGGCAAAGTACAAATAAAATAATTCGGAGTAAAACTAGGCTAAACAGTGACTACCAATATCACTCGGCAACATTCAATAAAACATAAATAACAACCAGTGGAAAAAATACAACACTGGGCAAAGTTTCCCCTTTTTGCAACTCTCCTTCGCTGTGCGTGAAAAAGTTTAATAGTTTTTCATCGAAACTTCTTATCACCATCTGGCCTGCGTGCTGAAAACTAAGTCAAGAAGGTACGTGAATTAATCACTTGCACAGAAACTATCTTCAACTCTATTGTTCTGCTAACTCGAGAACAAACTGCACAGAGAGCTGATCATTGCGTGTGGCGCTGGTTTTAATCCTAATCTTCAAGCTGTAATGCACGCCATAATGTGAGGTTTCATAATTTGGGATCATTTTCACCTGGGGAATACCTTCAATCCAAATTTCTCACTCTTCTTACTCACACGCCGAATGACTCACGTGTGTTGTTGGAGGCAAAAATAGCAATATAATGAGTAAATGACATTAATATGAATTGTTACATCTTCTTAATAATAAATGACTAAGATGTTAAGAGAACTATTTCTTTTGAACAAAACTATGTCAATTTATACAACAATTTCCGAGGGGAAAACAAGTGATAGAATTGTGTGTTAAAGATTCTAATTCATTATTGCCAACATCTGACTGTCGAAAAGAATTTTGACATTCCGCATATCTTCTCATAATCTTCTTCGTGCTTCCTTAAATTGTACATTTTTTGAGGAATTTCAGTGTATAAACTGAACTTTAATTCCATCAATCTCGCTCTTTATTGTCAAAAACTAAATTTTTTCACGAAATCTGCTTACATTCTTAGAATATTAGACTCGCAACTTTGAATGTCAAGAAATTACATTTGAAAATTGACTCAAATCTATTTGCTTTGCATGAAATTCTTTCTTTAGTTGCGTTCCCCTGACAATATTATTCATTTTAACCCTGATTTTTCCTGAAAACATTGACAATGGAGAGACAATCGATCAAAAAGCGTATAGCAACTATTCCTCCGCGCTTTCTTCTGTGCAGTGAAATTAGCGAGAGAGTAATATAAAATACAAAGCTTCGCATCTTGCGGCAAAAAAAAACGAAATTATAATTTAGCATAAACACTAAATAATGATTTGAGTAATTTGAAAGTGTTGGGAGAAAAAAGTAGCAAAATTTTGCACGATGATTCACACTCTCATTTTCTTATCACTACAATTTCACAATCTTCCCAGCTGTATTCACGTGAAAATCTAATTTACATACTAATTTATTGGGAGAGCTCATCATCATTGTGTATGTTTCACCATGAAAAATAATAATTGTGCTTTATGGCGGAAAGGCGAGGGTGAAAAATATGTTACGAAGTGAAACGGCACGTGCTAGAGCGAGACAGGGCGCGAGAATGGATTTTAACAAACATTTTAACAAACAAATTTGAGCGTTTCCATAGCAAAATTTATACTCGGTGGTGGAAGTTTAATATTGAAATTCAATAAATTCCCTAAAAAGCCTCGCGGTGCTCCTTTTCGGTGGATATCGCACAAGTGAATCAGCAAAGCTCTTTGGTGGTATTGTGGCTCTATTCTCTGTGGCGCGTCTTCTTGGAAAAAAAAATATAACCATAAGCGCGCCTTGAAAGGAGGGAAAAAGTTAATTCACCTTGGTTGGGGCGAACAAATGAAATTTCACCAGTGCGAGGCGTCAGTTTCAGAGGTGAACTTTGAGGAAATTCCTCCGTGGGAATTCCAACTGTGGAAAATTCTGACACGGATTCAAGCGAATTTCACCCGCAAGACAAGAAGAATTCATCATCTTCTATGCACATCCAATTCTAACCCCCTTGTGCGACTCATTCTGGTTTAATTGGAGTGTAATTTGGCGTCAGGAATGAAAATTGCACATTAGACCAACTCTGAGGAACGCCCAGAGCGGCAAAAAGCTGCCAGTGAAAATCAATAAAATTCAATCAATTGGGAAAAACGTATTCACCAGCTTAAAGTGTGTCAACTACACGGAAATGACAAGGATTAATTCATTTTTAGTGCTCAACATGCAGTTCCCATTTTAACGTGAAAGAATGTGCGGTGAATTCCTCTTTGAGACAGGACATCCTGTCTGACTTACACAGACTTTCCTGTGCCTTTGGAGAATTGGACAATTTGACTCATTCTTCAGCTGCAAAATTCCCTCTTTTTTTTCGGCTCTCTTGAGGAAGTGAAAATATAGCACTTAAATTGAGACCGTGACTTTCTCACCTTCAAAATCATTTCTTCCACGTTCTTTTCCATTTTAATTATGGCCCAGGAAAAAAGCAAGTTCATATAAAAAAAGAAACGCTACACAGAATGTTCGTGCCTAAAAGAAATACTCTGCTGGAGCGTGCTGTGGTCATGAAATATCCAGCAAATTCATTTTCATTGACCTAATGCTTTATGCTCATATGTATAAAAATATGTTATGCATTATTTAACGCAGACCAGCTGATATACGAGGAAGTTGGCGAATGCCGAGACGCGAAGAAAGTCAGAATCTTGGTGTTGGAGGGGGGAAATCTTGGCCGGGCGGAGAGAGAGAGGAGAAAACCAATATATCTCCCCTGTGATTTGCGCTAAATACACTCTAAATGCTCATTAAATGGACAATTTAGTGGAAATTGCGTGAATTCTTTCTCTCCTCTGAGCAGTTCATTAGAGGCATATTAAATAATAGCCGGGCAATTAGGCTAATTTATTGTCTATTTCTCCAACAGGTGCACAAGAAGGCGAACTGAGGGACACTCGAGACCACAAAATCGCTTTGGACAAGAGAACTTGGACTCGAAGGTGGAGAGAATGAGATGCAATTCCGGATTCCTCAGGTGGCCACCACTTTTAGTCATCATTGGATCATGCCTTTACCTGCTCTTGACATTCAACACAGTGAATTCCAGTGAGTTTTTTCCTCCTCTCGCACCATTTTTCCCCCCGACGCTAGTTTTGTAACATTTCACAACTTCAATTTCTCCCCGTTTCGCTCTCACCGCTTTTCTCCATTGCGATGTAATTTACCCGATGATTAAGCTCTTGATAGTTATTCTCTCCCCCGCACAATTCACATTATTCGCCGTGCAAAGAAATTGCGAAGTGCGCATAACTTCAATTCATCCTTTCTGGTGATTAATTTCATTCTGTTTTTTTGGGTGGGAAAAATTTAAGATGACATGACGGAAAAACTAGTATTTCTCGAGTTAAAGAGCAGAATTTACAGTAAACAAATTTAAAGACTTTCAATTATTTACTAATAATTCTCATTCTCTCAGTCTTTGTGAAGTTCTGATTGTACAGTTTAAAGATTTGCGTTTCAGTTCAAAATCCACTCTGTGACTGTTCGTTTTGACATCCAGAAATCTTAGCTTTAAACTGAACAAAGCGAAATCATAACAACGCTTATTAAGATTTGCTGAATGGACTATTAGATTTTAGTATGAAATTTATTCTTTTTGTCTGTCACCATTAAACATTGTTGATGTTCAAGAAACCCAAAGATCGTAAAACTGAATTCTAAACGCATTATATAATTAGTAATTATGTAATTCTATACAATTCTCCTGCTCTTAGACGTCAATCTATTTCAACAATGGCGCAGCAATATTAAAGTGACGATTGTTAATTAAAATTTAAATCAATGGCTCACAATTTCAGCGACATGAAAGAAATAGTTGTAATTGATGATTTCATTGCCAGGGGAACAATCAATTATCATTTTCCGATTGTCGTGACAGATTGACAAGTGATTTTCCTTTCATCCGCGCCCCTGATTGTGATGCATCTTCGCGAGGCGCCGCAATGCGATTCCAATTGAATTGATTGAGCCAATAATTTTGCCATTAAACAGCAATAAATTGCAGAATGTGAGGCTAAAGTGCCGAAGCTATTATTTGTGTTGATCATTAATTTTCACCTGTCTCGCAGTCTGACTCCTGTTCAGCGCTTTACGTGCACATGAAGATGTTTGCAATCGACAAGAAGTCGTTAAGAGAGAAATTTCCAGTATATTATTGTATAAATTGACACGATAAACTTGGCAAATGCCTCAAAGAGGCGTCGCTCCACAAGCACTTCCTCGAGCAGGATAAACATGATGCGACAAATAGACTAATTGAGAATAACATCGGCCGGAAATGAGCAAAGACAAATTCCATCCAACGCGACAAATGAATAAGGACACGAAACGTCGAATGGAATTGTGTATTTATTAGAAATTTACACAATCGCATTGCTGGCAGTGCTGGAATTCCTGCCCAGACACGCGGCAATTGAGATAATTTCCCAAAGTGGCCAAGATCACAACATCTCGCGCTGTTGTATGGATTCACATCCCATGTTATCGATTTTTATTTAGCGTTTTTTACGTGCTCTCTCGTGGGAAATTCAGCACATCACGCAAAAGTGTATCGAATGGTGCGATAGAGTAAATGAGAAAATGAGAAAATGAAAAGGTAGAACAACTGGCAAAGGGCATGATTTATGCGATAAAAATTCCAGCTGCCTTAGCATTCAATTACCAAATGAGATTCCTCGTCTTCAGCATTATCAGCGCCCATGTTTAAAGCAACTGTCACGAACGCTTGTTTACGCGAAATGCTGTGCTTTTCCCCTGGTCATCAGCAGCAAGTAGTGCCTTTTGATGAAAACCCGCGAAATCAAGTCATTCTCACGAGAAATCAGCAGGCATTGCCATAAATTTATGGAATTTTATCTCAGTCGAGAGCTGTGAACCAAAACAGACGCTTAAAATATTGTTGAATATCCGAGATATTTCAACTGATTGGCAAAATTACCGCATTAGTGCATTTGAGTTCATGCCAAACGATTTCAGATATCACTGTTCTTTTTTGCACCCAATCGCCAGAAAGTGCCGCGTTTTCGGTAAACAAGTCCTCTGAAATGCCGTGAAATGGGAAAAAATTGAGACATAAATTCGTGTCACAGCATGTGAATTAATTAGACAAGTCAATACATAAATTCGGCGAGGAATTTCGGAAATTTTCAAGAAAAATTCTACAAAGTGATTCACTGATTAATTTGCGAAACAGTTTCACTTGGAAACGGTTCTGTGACTAATACTGTTTCTTATTCTGACGAATAATTGTTAGATGTTTTTATTGAAAGAAACTATGCGCATTTATTTCTGTTATAACACATTGCAATACATGACATTCTCGATAATTTGAAGCCACAATCTTCACTTGAACGGCAGAAAATTGTTGTAATGACGCCACTTGTGCTAATCTTACGATCTGGAAATCTTTGAAACAGAGTATACGCACGAGACAATTTCAAAATTATCAAGATATTGTCGATGCTGACGGAAAAATTTGCAGAAAATTTCTCAATTTTCTCCAGTCGCAAATTAATGTGATGATAAAGATTTATCGCGAATAGACGTAAGCAAAAGTATTGAGTTTCTCAGAAGAAAAAGAAAGGTCGACCACTGAATGGGGAAACCTGGCCATTGATTCATTCATCAGTGGCTTGAGTGACCAGACAAAAAACCAAAATTCAGCGAACAAGTTGACAAAATGACTGTGATTGTGATATAATCTGTTTGCATTATTTCTACTGGATGGGAATCGATGAAATTGTGACGAAAATCTCCGGGGGAAAAAACGTCAGTAGAAGTGGAGAAAACGTGCATCTTCAGAGAGGAATAATTGGCACAAATTTTTGCCATGCAGTGGAAAATCTGGTGAAATGGGAATCCATAGAGCGACTGATTAAGTTGCAGTGCGCATATAATCTTCACGACGTCAATGGCTAATTTGTCCACGACATATCAGACAAATCGCGATGGAATTTCCTCGCTGTCTCGACGCTGCGCAGTGATTAATGGATGATTTCCACTGATTGAGTCACAGAGTAAATTGAAAAACAAGCATGGACAAGATGCAAGAGATGAGAAATGGCCATTTGATAACTGCTTCAATTGAGAGAGTGTTGATGATGTCGCAGAGCGAATTTTCGTGGGCGGTAAATTACCTTTAATGGGAAATTATGCGCGCGCGCGCGTTGTGCGGTATTTTTAGCTCCAATGTCCAGTGACATTGAATTAGATTGAAAACAAGACACAGACACATAAATTAAAATTGAAGAACATGGCTCATTTGGAGAGCATATAAACAAAATTCCGCCACTTCCGCAATTACACGCTTCTTCCTGGCAAATCTAAGCACTTAAGCAATGCCTCTTCCTCATCCGTTCCGCAGGTCCAATTCACCAGAGAGTTGTGCGCATGTTGCGAGAGCAGGAAAGTGAGCAGATCATCAGTCCTCGCAATGGATCAATTGATTACCAGCAAGGTGAGTTGCATCCCAATCTGACCAACAATTCCAATTTCACTCACTCTTTGGCGTGTTGCAGTTGCAAAGGAAGCGGAAAAGTGCCTCCTGGACGGTGTTTTGGTGCCAAAAAGCCAAGCCACGTGCGCCACAAAACCCGGTTGTCGTGTGATTCAGAAGACCGGCGAATGTTGCCCAGAATTTCAGTGTCAATGCGAGCGAGACGGTAAAATTTATGCCACCGGCGAGAAGCTCGTTGATCCAGAAACACCTTGTCGAGTGTGCTACTGTCAAGGTATTGGCTTTTTTCGCTGTGCGCGCACATTGTCGTGCTTTGCCTCTCAAGAGAGAGAGACAACAAAAAGAACCTCTAATTGGCAACCTCAATTGCCATGGCAATCCAACATCTCACTCACTCCCAATCCACTTCTCAATATATAGGTGGCGAATTTATCTGCAACAATGTAACGTGCTACATTAGGAACGACTGCGAGCCAAAGTACATCGCCGGAAGGTGCTGTCCGGAGTACGACAACTGTCCGCCTCTGGGTGAGTGTCTTGCATTCTTAAGGCACGAAACTAGTTTCAAGAATCGCAGATGAGCGCAGTTTTTGCATAAATCGCTACGCACGCAGTGTTTTTATTTGAGCAATTACAATTTTTAAATAGCCTGTTATAGCCAATAAGCAGTAAAAAGAGCTATAATGTCTGAATACCACGATGAAGATGCTCCTCTGCTCTTGCATTAACACGAGAACACTTAATCTGCACACGAAATCTACACAGTCGAGCATTAATAATTCTACTGTGTGGAATTGCAAACTAGCAAGAATATCACTTTATGCAATTCATTGAATTTTATTACAATAAAATCGATGCTTTTGAACTCATATTCAAGTAATTTACGATTGATATCTCTCTCAGAGATCCTAAACGATATTTATTTATGATTCTCAGTGAAATTTGAGGCCAAAACCAAGATAAAATAGCTCAAAAACCACGCGTTTGTGCAGAAAATATGCAAGAAATACTTTTGAGGATTGAAATACGCCTTATCAATTTCCCTACTTGAAAGACAAGTGAAAATTCCAGGTCTAATTAATTTAATCAGCGAATAATAATGTTTTTGGTGGCTCCATTATTATTCATCCCTCATTTCTGGTAATTCCTTGCAGAGCACGTCAAAGTTGGACCAACTGAGATGATGCTCGTGACGAATCCTCTGGAAACGACGACTCCTGAAGCGATGGACAACAGCGAGACGACCACAACAGTGCGCTCCACGATCCTCTATCCACTGCCCAACAACCACCTGGGCATCAAAATCAAGGAGATCACGAAAGTGGAGGAGATCAGAATAACGAATCCGCCCAAAATCGAATCTCTGCCCACAGCGAAGACACCCACGAGCACGGACACTGCGACAGCGGAGACGCCTCGTTCCACAGCGCCAGTGGCGTCGACGGAGGGCAGCGACGTGAACAAACTGGAGGACTTCGAGGTGGGCGAAGAGGAGGCCACGCGTGACACGAACAAGAGCGTTCGCCAGACAGTCACGGAGGAGAGTTTGCTGGAGCGGATGCCCGAGGAGCTGAACTTGACTGAGATCTCCACGCCAGAGGAGGAGCTGGTGAGCTTTCTGTCCAGCACTGCGCCGGCAGATGCGAAATTGTATCCCTCAGTGGTGCAAATGGGCGACAGGGTGGTGATTGTGGACCAGAACGGCAACACGAAGCCAATAACGATTGTTGGCGTGGAAGGATTGCAGCTGGGCGGCGAGGAATTGGAGCACATCGAGCTGAGCTCAACCGCCAGTTCGATGGGTGGCAGTGACTTCATCTCCATGGCCTCTGGAGATGACGCCACCAATGAGATCTTCGACGTGGAGAGTGGAACGACAGAGATGCCGGGCAGAGATGAGGAGGATCATTTCAGGGCGTCAAGCAGTAATGTGTTCATTGTCGCTTCCACGCCACAAGTTGAGAGTTCCGGGGAGAATCTGGTGCTGCTGGTAAACAGCTCGCTGACCGACGAGGACGACACGGTCTACAACACAATCATATACACACCAGCGCCGGATGGCAATTCCAATGAGACGGAAATCTTCGACACCACTTACTTCCCGGAAGACGAGTCCACGGAGAACGACACCACGGAGAACTGGCTCAATGCCCGCGGATTCTCGGCCACGAGCGAGGAGGACACGACTAGCACCTCGCCGGCGGCGTTCGCCGAGGAGAGCGTCAGCCATCCGCAGACGTACATCGAGGAGGACGAGCTGGCCAACCATGAGCTCATCAACCCCGAGTATCCGCCGCTGCCCGAGGACGTGAGCCTGTACGGCCGGGAGCACGGCTCCGCGCCCTTCGCCGACGAGGACATGGAGCAGTCGCGCACGCATCACGACCACGCGGAGAAGTCCCTGATGGACGCCTCGACGGAGAGGATGATCCGACTGAACGGCACGACGGACGAGCCGAGGGGATCGACAACGGAGGACACGGTGCTGAAGGTGGAGGAGGAGATCTCCTCGCCAGAGTCCCTGGTCGTGCCGCCGCACAATCCCAAGGACGACGCCGAGAGTCTCAAGTACAGAAGCGAGCAGAGCCTCGCCGATGAGTCCCTGCAAGTGGAGGACAATCGCTCGGACGCGTCGCATCGAGGACTGCTGAGGTCCTTGTAGTGAATCAGCCCTAGGAAGTACTATTTAATCGCCCCTCCCCAGATATTTAACGACTATTCATATGATTTTCTTTGTTTTTTTCCCTCATTTCTGCAATGCAGCAAAAGATGTCTTGAAGAAAAAAAGAGAGAGAAAGAACTTGAGTGCCAGATTATTTGTAGGTGAAAGATTATTAGCAATTTTTTACTACAAATTTTTTTATTGTGTAAAATCTATTTGAATTTTTCTTTGTGGTAATTATTAATATATTTTGCAAAATGACCTGCAGACTGAAATGAGTGGAATTTCTCTCATTGCTGCAATGAAATTGCATGATTATAAAGATAAGAATTAAGAAGAGCAAAAGAAAGAAAAAAAAACATTTTATCTGCGTCAGAGAGCAAATTAAGAAGTCTCATAGAGAGTGATTAATCAGAAGCAAACTTTGTTATTAATTCATTTAGGATCGCCGATTATGAGTGATGCACATTAAGAACACTAAAAACAAATTACGTCATATTATAAACTCAATTGAATGCATTGAAAGGTGAAAATTGATTTGCAAAATTTTCTGTTGTGAAGCCATTTTATGATGAAAACAAACACATTTCGTTAAACGTTTTTATGTGATGTGCATTTAAATTTTATTTCTCCTCACTTTTGATGCATTTCATAGTCCGTATTAATAATTATTTTAAACATGTCGACGAGTGAGAAGTATTTAAAATAGTGAGAATTATTAATTAAACAAATTATTTGCAGTATAAATTATTATACAATTATTATTTTCTAAGAAGAAGTCAGTCATTAAGTCGTAATTCAATGAAATTTTAGCAAGTTAATGAGAAGTGGAGAGAAGAAGAAATCCTTTTCTAATGTAATTGTACATTTCATGAACTATAAAGACAAAAGAAGTGAATATTAAAATTCAATAAAAAAAAAACACTCAAATAGACCCATTATGGCGTGTTCTTTCTCCCCATTCTTTTCCTCGTTCGCGGATATTTCCTCACGTCTGCAGAAATTGTGTAACATTCGCATTTGAATATTGTAATTTGGCGCTCGCATCTCCCGATGCTTGCGCACCGGAGAAAGTGTTGTAATCGCGTGTGTGGGAAAATCAGTCACGTTGCCCCACATCAATTGTGCCAGCGCGGAAAGCTCCATATGGTCAGACATTGATGCTCAGATCGCCAATTCCTGCCGATCGCGTGCCGCTGATCGTCGCGAAAATGACACCAGCGTGAGCGAAGGCAGGAAATTCTCACGAAGAAAATGGCAGAGAAAAAATGTGGAACAACGCAGTTGTTAATTATTCACTAGCATAATTTATAGTTTTCAATAGCAAATAAGCAGAGCTACCAAAATTGGCAAGCAGTCGCACAGCTTTCTCCTCATGCAGAAAAAACACTCAACGGTCAGTCGATAGATTCTCGAGACTTTCTTCCTCGCCTTCCAAGATTTTGCACAAGTTTAACAATCAGTGAAAAACATGTGATTTTAAGCAACTATTGAGCTATTTCGACAAATTGATTTAGAGAAACTTGTGTAGAAGTAGTAAGAAATGTTCAATGCCTGATTCTTCTCTTAAATATTCTTATCCAACAGTCAATTTCCCTCTTTATCGCTCACTATAAATATCTGCACCAGATAATTATTGCTATTTTAGTTTCAAATTAAATAGTAATATCAAAATTATTCCCTTCAAAATAAGCATGAAAAAGTTCACACGAAAATATCAAATTTGAAAATATGCACGAGAACTTCCTTCCTGACCGTGAATCACGTGAAAAAGACATCAACGTGGAAAGAGAAGCGCAACCCGATATCCTAAAAAATGCAAATATAATAACATACAATTTTCGCACATTCAGCCACACAGTGGATAGATTTGAGGTGAAAGATCAATTTGGGCGATGAAGATCGTGCATTTCTCACTGTCCAATTATCACGTCAACTTCCCAAAGCTCCTCTGCCGGAGTTTCACCTTCTTGCCACACTGATTTTCAAGGTCTCAATCAGCCAATATTGCTCCACGGAGTCTTGGCGTCGTGAGATCATAGATGATACAGTTGGGAAAGACTGCGCGCTCTCGGTTCTCCCGCCTAAAGAAAGTGAAAAGTGGGGGAGATGAGCGCCGACTTGAATTTCTCGTTCCACTGGGACTCCATCGAGACACTGGGCGATGTCGGTGGGGCGCCACAGCTGCGCCTATATAAGAATTTACTCTGTGGCCGCCGCCGACACTCCTATACAAGCCCTCCCAGTGGATATCATCCGCATTCGTGTGATCAGGTGAGTCTCTCGCGCCTCTCTTTCCCTCACGGATCTCGCGGTGATCAGTGCTAATTGTGCGTTCTGCGTGCGAAACTGTGTGCTATTCTAATCAGTGGCACTTTCTTGTAGGCCGACACAGAGAGAGAAATAGAAAATGAAAGTGCTTGTCAGTGCATTGGTGATCAGCTGCTTGGCGGCTCTGTCGCTGGCCCGCCCGCAGGAGGGCGCACAGTTCACAGACGAGGCCATCCGACAGGCGCAGCAGTCCTACCTCATCCCGCAGGACGCCAAGATCCAGAAGGTGGAGCGCGGCATTGAACTCGCCTCGTACGAATCCATCCCAGCGCGCCAGAAGATCGACCTGTTCTCCATTCTGGGCGATCAAGTACCGCGCGACGTGATCGCCAGGCTCCAGCCGCAGGTCGACAACATCGGCTACGACTCTTGATGCGACGCGCCTTAGCTTCTTCTTCCTGCCTCTCGTCCTCTTCCTTTGTCCTCCGTCTCCCTCCCAGTAGGTATTTTCACACATTCACACAAAAAACACACACACACAAACAAACACGCGCGCAAAGGACAGAGAACCAGGCTCCCCCAGAGACATCGTGCTCCTCCGGTGCTCGGCATTCGCGAGGAACTCCTCTCTCTGTATTCTTCCATGTCAAGTGCCAAGAAGCCATAGCAAACCGCAGAGAACATCTCGCAGAGTTCATTAGCAAATGACATATGAAATTGTGTTAGATATACTATTTTTTTTACTGTTATCAAGAGAGTGTGCATATAATTGTTCTATATATATATATGAAATGCCTACACAAGTATTTTCGATCAAAAGAGAAATATAAAAGAGGAAAAAACCCAATGCATTGTCACTTCATTCGCTCGTGACTATTTTTTTTTCTTCTTCTTCTTTTCTGTGTGATCTTCTCGTGACCTTTCCTCACTCCTCCGTTCATCCGTGCGTTCAGACGCGCGCGCTCACACAAAAAAGAGGTGAAAGTAAATTGACAGTGGCGCGCGATGGTCAATTGAAGGAAAATTAATTCAAATCACAGAAGAAATTGTGGCATTTTCTCCCAATCAAAATTCTTATCGTGCGCGTCTCTTTCTCTCTCTCATCGAAACTCTGTCCAGCAAAAGATCCATTCAAAAGGTCTCTTTGTGTCTCTCTCACTTTCACTTTTTCCCCACAACACAGCCACAAAATAATAAAATCTCGCGCGCCTCCCGCACGCCACCAAAGCTCTCTGACCGCGTCTTCATCACAGTGAGTCCCATTCAAATTAGCACTATGTCGAGAGAGACAGAGAGAGAGAGAGGCAGAACTTGAGGATTTTCTGTTTATATTGAATTACATCATAGACTTGAGGTGAGAGAAAATTGCTGCTGAAGATGCGCGCGCGCGGCGAAGAAGAAACGAGAAAAACTTGAATACCTAATTAACTTGCGATTTTGTGTCTCTCTTTACCACCCAAAATTGCCATCATAGATCTTGCGTGTCTCTTTTTATCCTCTCCCAATAATTATTCCATTCAGAAGAAGCTCATAAAAATGTCGTTTTCTTTCCCAATTATTGTTTCCTCCCCGCCCGCCGCCGAATTTCAGAAAACAAGTCTCCAAAAAAGCTAGTTTCACGCGCGCATTCTCAACCACACACACAAACACTTTTCGCTCTCTTTCTGGAAAGTGTTCTCTTCCGATGGGCGTCTGATCGCGGAGGAAAAAAAAGCAGTCTTCAGAGGTTCACTCAAGTTCACTTGCCGCGCAACTCATTCATCAGGTGGTCCGGAATCGTGGGACTGCCGCCCTTTGCCGACGATCCGGCCAGCCAATACTCAGACACGGAGATGTACAGCGCCACCGCGAGTCCCACGAGAGAGGCGATCCAGGTGGAGCTCTGGAAGATCACGCAAGTCGCTATGCACAGCCCGAGATACGTCAAATACCGCGTCATTGTCACGTATTGCTCGCGCTTCTCACCGGCAGTGTCTGCAAAAGGGCAGAAAACCATTCACATCAGCAATTCACGCGCAAAAAGATCGACGAATTAAGTCAAAATATTCTAATATTACCTCTTAAAAACACCTCTGAATTTGCTACGCTTAAATCTTCAATTAACTATCTATTCTACACAGAACTTGTGCTGTTGCATAATAATGAAACGTCGATTAATCATGGTAATATTTTTAGTTTTTCCATGAACTTGCAATATTTCAGTTAAAATTCCAGTGAATAACAATAAAATCAATAGAAAAAAATCCCGGATTATAATTATTACAGAGCAATATTAGCACTCTAATGAACGATAAGAAAGTGTTTTAAGGGGTTTGTTGTGAATTTGCCAAATTTCGAAGCGAATATCAACATTAAATTGTAAATTCATATTTAATAATATTTCAAGCAGTAATTAGTTATATGGATCCTTGAAACACACATTAAAGAACTTCAGGGAGGGCAAAATCAATCTCCGAAGATGAATTAAACTTGTCATTTCCCCACCTTTGTAACAAAATAAAGGATTCAGTTGATGAATCATATAATAATGTCAGGAAGAAAATTGATCAAACAGAATTCAATTCAGGGAAAGAAAATAAATACCCAAAATACCTGTCCAATTACCATCTCTGTGATGTCTAAGTAAACCAGAACAAAGGGGCTTTAAGACCTTTCCTGAAGTAAATTATTTCTTCCCACAGATTAATAATAATAATTGAGAACAACTGTAAATACGCCAGAATGCGTCACAATCTGAAGAAATTAAATTAATTTAAATAATTATCTCTTAAAGAAATCAAGAGATAATTGACATTGGCTGTCTTGAAGCCTCTTCCGGAGCCTTTAACCCAATCCAAAAGCGTCCTTTTGTCTTCCCCACAAACTCCCTCGTGCCTTAAATTTGCGGTAAATCATCAAGTATAGGAAGAATGTGTGATAAACTAGACTAAGATCAATCACCAGCCAACTCACCAGTGCACAATCCGTCCCTGAGCTCGAATCCATCGGCGCACGCGGTGCAGAGATCTGGTCCATCGCCTGAGCATCCGTTGCACGATCTGTCGCACTCCAGGCACAAGAACGAGCCCTCGTTGTTGACACAGAACTGATTCTTCTGGCAAGCGTTCCTCACTTCCAGGCACTCATTGACGTCCAAGCAGCCGCTGCCCTCGCCGGACGCCGCCGCCCAGCCCTTGCTGCATGCGTTGCAGCTGCGCGGCCCCGGGCCTTTGCAGCCGGTGCCGTTGGCACACGCGGCGTGACACGGTGTGCACAGCAGCTTCGTGTCATCGCGGAACGCCTCGTAGAAGTGCAGAGCACAATCCGTGCATCCCTCGCCGGCGTAGCCAGTGTCGCAGAGGCACTTGCCGTTGCCTTTGCGCGTGCCATTTCCCTTGCATTGACCTGGAAAGCGAGAGGAGACGAATTTCTCATATCAAATGTATCAAATTGCAAAAGCGCCGCAATTTCAAAACACAACAAATCTCATGAATTATGATCATGTTGCAAGCATCATGCGAAATCTCCTCACCATTGCCGTGGCAGTCGCTGCACGGATCGCAGTTAGCGCCGAAGTGCAGGTCAGGACAGCACACGGCGAGCTTGTCTATGCAGAAGTATTTGAAGAGATCCGGCTCCTCATTCTGGTGCTTGAACCACCAATCCTCGATGACCTGCTCGTTCTCCTCGGCCAGATCGTGGCACTGTGCCGTGCCTCTGGTCAGATCGTGGCACAGGCCTTCTTGGATCTCCACGAGGCGCAGCTCGCTAGTCTTGTAGCTGCCCAGGCGCTCCTCCTCCCACGCTGCGTCGCCGCCGCCGTGCTTGCCGCGCTCCGTCTTCCGGACGCCGGCCTGGAAGGAGTCCACCAGCACGCGGCACGACTTGCACGGCGGCAGCTTCACATTCTTGCCACTCTTGGAGTCCCCGGCAGATGGCACAGGCGGGGCCACTTGGGCGTCCAGCGGAGCGACGAGCGCAGCAGTGATGGTCAGGAGAATGACATAACCTAGCTTCCTGAACATTTGGCAGACGAATGCTCCTCCAACAGCTGTCTGGATCACAAGATATGATACTGAGAGAAGTGAATTCTCAGAACTTTTCTAGATTCTGCAGGAAAAATCCCTGTCTTTCTCAGAAAATATGCGTCAATTGTGCAGCCACAATGTTTGTCTCCTTCAATTTGATGTTCACTTCGCACGCCACTTGCCGAACTGAAAATTGTCTCTCAGTGAGTAAATCAAACACCACGTCAACAAATTGGAAGCTCTTTGGTGGCAATTTGATAAGAAAATCAGATGGGAAAACCGATAGAAAAATCTAAACACTCTTGAAGAACGTGTGCCGGAATTCGCGACCAATCACAGAGTGACACTTTGTACACAACAGCCCCACTAGCGCCACACAGTGATCAGCACAGCGAAATATCGTGTCCACGGTGGAAAGTTCCTGGCAATTCCGGCAGAGGAACAAAACGGTCAACATTTTGGGGGGAGATTTGTAAAGTAACGCCTTTGCATATCCAGACTTGTTTACATCTCTAAATTTAGCATGGGGAATTATTTTTGCTCCTCGCGCGCCATAATTCAATAACGACCACCAGTTTTCCGTCCTCCTGTCACTCAACTCTTGCATTCCCTCTGCATACAAATCAGGACGCTGGATGTGGTATAAATGTCCGGGAGAGGCTGAGCACGGCAGTCAGTTGTGCAGAAAGTGTCTTAGAGGCGACAATGGGAAGCATCACAGTGTCTGCAGCAGCCTCAATGGTGCTCATTGCTACGTACTATCTGCTGATTCTGGGCACTCTGGCCAGTGCTGAGACGTCCAGCAATCCGAAGCCTCTTCTGCCGCCGCCGGAGAATCTCACGCCGCACTTCCGCACGCGTGGTGGCCTCTTTGCCGCACCTAGGCGCCTATCGACGCTGCACAGAGCGAAGCCGGTGCAGGAGATGGCGTGGATCATCGACGAGGACGAGGACAGTCCCTTCAGCGACGTGAGCAAGCGCTTCGACGACTACGGACACATGCGCTTCGGCAAGAGAGGCGCCGGCGAAGGTGATCAATTTGACGATTACGGACACATGAGATTCGGCCGACGCAAAAGGAGCTCTCGCGAATAGGCGCACGTCCCGGAAAATGATGTACATATGGTGACAATGGCACGCAATGTAGTACTCTATTGGCTGGAATAGAGTATTATCCTGTAGAATTACTGAATAAATTGCAAATCCCTCAATCTGTCGTGTTTTTGACTTGAGATTTACCATAAAAAATCATGATTGAAGATTCATCAAATTCTGCACAAAACCTAAGAATAAAACAACATTCGGTAGTTTCCAAAAGCTTTCTTCTTCCAGAGATAAATACAGTGTAAAATTCTGCTCTTCATTAAAAATAACTGTGCGATATATATATATATATATTCTTTGTTCGCTTATGGAGAAAAAGTTCACAATCGTCAAATAGATATTTCACATCAACATCTTACTAGAAATCCATTACGATATTTTCCATAAAAGAACAATAATAGTAATTATGATGAGGTATTTTTCTTCAATCGACACGTGCGCGATTTTGTTTGTTTGTTTGTGTGTGTGTGTGGAAGAGAAATGCGAATCATCGTGAGATATTTACATGAGAAATGAAACGTTTTATGTCGCTAAGCGACATCAAAAAATGCATCATTATTATTTTGACACGCGATATTCAGGGGATAAAGACTAGATTAATTACGTGGTTTTCCTCTTCACAGCGCCTCCAGCTTTGCTGCCACTCCTCATGCTGCTCGTGTCATCGTCATCGTCATCACCTTGCGTCTCCTCCTCCTTGGGACGCGTCCACTTGATCATCGTCTCCGGCGATCTATAGAGGAAGATCAGCTTGGCGAAGAGATCCTCCTCCAGCGCAAAGTCCAGCGACTCACGCACGAGATAAATGTCCAGACAGAGTTGCAGCACTCTGTCCACATACGGCAGATCCTCAAACATGATCTTCACGCTCGATCCCGAGAAGATGCCGCGCAACACGCGCGAAATCACAATCACAAAAGTCGTGTACATGCCAATAATTCCGCCACCCGTGAGATAACTCAGCGTCGGCGGGAAGAGTTTGTCATTGAACGTGTACATCACGATGGCAGAGTCGCAATTCGCCTTGGGGATGTCCTTCAGGATGTCCTGATAGAAGTGATCCGTGCAGTCCTCCTTCAACTCCCACCATCGCACGTTGTCCGCCTCGTACAGCTTCAGCGTGATGTTGCGATAGCCCGCATCCTCTGGATAGTCACTGGGAATCAGCTGTGGAATTGGCTTCAGCACACCGTTGTTCTTCACCTTCAAGAACTTGGGCAGAATGTGGGGAATCGAGACATTGCCCGCCGTTTGATTGGACAACATGCCACTCAGCACTTGCCTTATGGGATCACCGTACACGAGATCATAGCTCGTCTCGTCCGTGATCACGCCCGGATTCTCCTTGGAGTACGTCACGCGTGACACAGTGTATCTGAAGAAGATCTTCAGTGTGTCCTGAGACTCAATATCCTCTCGCATGCGTTGCAAATCGGGCGGCGAAATCGCCCACACAGACGTGGAATTTGGCCCCAAATCCACCACAGCCACATCTGCAGCTTCATAGTTGGTGAGAAAAGTCACTGCCGTCTTGTCACGCTTGTACGGCTGATTCAGCAGGAGCCAGTCGTCCTCCGTGAACTTCTGTATATTGCTACCCTGCGCATTGGCAAAGTAGATGGGCTCAAAAGGTCCAATCTTCATCGTCACGGACACATCGAAGGGTGGATTGGATTCACCCACAGTATTTCCCAGGGCGAACAATCCCAGCGGGAACCAAATGATCGTCACCAGGCCCAACAACATGCCGCCGCCCATCAGATACTTCACCACGGTGGTCTTCTTCGTTCCTCTCGGCGCCGGGAAGTCGTCTTCCATCTTCCTAGAGCACTTCAGTTGGTACATATTGGCAAAGATGTCCTCCATCTTCAGCCAGTCAAACAGTGTCATCGACGTGTCCGTCCAAATCCAGTCCATCAGACTGCGCAACTCGAACAGGAATGGGATGAACATGTAGGCTTTGTACGCGGCGAGATTCACAAAATTGAAGCTCCTCGTGAGGAAGTTGCCGAGGATTCTGGTCGGATATCCGCAGCGGATTTGATAGGCGGAGAAAAGGAGGTAGAAACACTTAATCAGGTACCAAATAACTGGAGGATTCTTTGCATTGAAACTCCTGCAAAACACACAAAAAAGGACACATTAGATAAGCACTCAAATTGTGGTAGTTTTTCAATGCATTCCGAGCTCAAACTCACCTCTCAGTGACTGCTGGCAGGATGAAGAACATCCAGATATGAATCCCGACAGTGAGGCCGTATTGGAAAATGATTTTTCCCAACATGTACTTCCTGAGATAAAGAGCTCGATCGATGATGATGAGAATAAATTGTAGAATTAGCATTATGAGAAATGCCAAAGGCACTTTGTTCTCCTCCAAATACGCCGTGACGCCGCCATCGCCTTGCTGAGACTACAAAGAAAATCCAAAAACGCCATTAGAAGTGCTCACATCACGCGAATGTCCGATGAAACTCACTCCAAATGATGTGAAGCCAAAGAGCACAACCATGAAATTGATAAAGTCACAGAAGAACATGTAGGCATAAACATCGGCAGACACTCGGGAGGAGCGATCAAGGAGTTGCCCAAAGAATATCCGGAATGCTGAACAATGGCGATTGAATCTGAAAGGATGAATTCTGTCAGTGCAATTCTCTCCCATCGCGAATCTTCAGTCAAAACTCACGATAACTTCACCACAGGCGGAATAATCGATGACGGCTGTTCCTTCACGTCAGTCACCTGAACCAATTGCATATCCGTGGACGGACAGAGGATCGTCTCTGTGTGCACTTTTGTGATCGCGATGGCTTGATTGGATCCAGACTCATCGGTTTTCCTCTCCAACTCATTGGACTGCTTCACCAGAGCCTTTTCCTCCTGATTGTTCGGCTGCTGTTGCTGCTGGTGATTGACTTGATAGGTTCCCTCTGAGATTGGCTCTTCTTTGAAGTCCGACTTCCACAATCCCAGCGTCTTCAGCATGAAGCGATGGAAGAACAGCACGAGCAGCAGAGCCAAATCGTAAGTTGCGTAGTTCTTCTTCTTCTCAATGCCAATGATTCGAGCTGGCGCAAGTGGCTGATTCGGCGGAATTGCCTGTTCGTTCCACCACAGCAATTCAAACTGCGACACGCACTTCAGCAGCACCACAATCTGCGTATAGGCAATCAGCGTGACCCAGAAAGTCTTCGACGGCCGAGGCACAGTCAAAGTTCCCCAGCAGAAGACCATAAAAGGCAGTGGCAAGGAGAGAATACTCGCAGAATTGACCTGAAGAATAAAACCACAATATGAATAGTCAGAAACTGCGCAATGACAAACATTCCTGCCAAAGGAAACTCACTTGATTGATAAAGACGACAAAATAGCACACAAGATCCGTGTTGGAGAGAATGGCAAACCAACAAGCCATTAGAAGTTCAACAATCGATGAATGTTCCTTCTCAGAAAAATCCTCAATTTCATCTACTTTGAATTTTCTGCAAAACACAAGCAAATCTCTCATTAATGGAGAAACAAAGGGACTAAGAAATATAGTAATTGGCTTCTTAAGGAGTCGATTAAGTCTAAATTTCTTTTTAATTGCAAACAACCGAATATCTTAACTTTCTCTTCGGATTAAAAACTTGTCTTCAGACCTAAAAAAAAAGTAAGTAAAGTTCAAAAATTACAAATTAATTAAGTATAGTTTCAAAAATACACGTTTTTTGGTTCCCGTCGCATAAATTATAAGTTTTTTTGATAAATTGACATCATTTGGTCAGAAAACCCAATCCGAAGAAAATTAAGATCTCTCTAGAGTCTCAAGTCATCTCTAGATTTCAAATGTTCAAACTTCTGATCTAAAATACTCTTTTTCCTACATACAAAAAATATCTCTCTAGTAAAACAAACACATGCAAAAAAATGTACAGAATACTCTAATCAGTACATCCAAAAAAAAGTGTATTGCAAGACAAAAATCAAATCTGTCGTGGTTCAATTTTTGTAGAGAATTTCGTAGCACGTAAGCATTTAAGCGCATGTGTTGTGACAACATAATTTCTGGTATGGGTTTTATGTGTGTAAGGATTGAAAGATGATTTGTCACCAAAAGAAGCTTCATTTTGTGTGATAGTTTTATGTTTCATTTTGGCATCTTTCAATTCTCGCGTGGGAGGAAAAGAAAATATAAGATGAAGAAGCTCATCTCAAGCTGTGACTGTGTGCACTCTCATGTACCTGTCCTTAACTTTTGGCTTGTCCACTTTTGCAGTGGATGGTGTAACTTCATCTAAGCCACGCTCCAATGAGGGCGCCAAGATACGAATTTCTGGCACCACACTTTCTCTGCGCCTGCATTAAAAGCTCACTATGTAAGTGTGTCTAATTCCATGGCAATTCATCAATCACAGCCTTTGTACAAACACTTCACACCCACTCACACACACACACACACACAGTACAGAAAAAGGAACTTGAGAACAATTAATCTACTTAAATAGAACACGGATTTGTTAGTAAAGTAAAACATCGGCAAACTTGCATGCATATTTCAACACCATTCTATAGAGAAAGTCTTGTCGGAAAATGAAAGAACGGCACACAAACAAACTCTCATTCTGTCTATCATTATTTATGAAGGCGTGGGAAAGTGAATTTGCGGGTGTTTCCTTACTGTTCTTCCTCCTCTTCTTGGGGTTTCGCCTTCATGACAACTTGCTGCATCGCCGCATAATTGGCCGCCAATCTGGAAGAAAATATTCATAAGACGACACGCAAGAGAAAATCAATACTTGTCACTCCTCTTCTAACATTAAACAATTCACTAGAATTCTAACAATTTTATCTTTCTCTCGCTATTCATAAACACTGAATTAAATTAGCAACATTGCACAGAAATGCTTTCATTTTATATACAAAATCTGCATTTTTTACCCTTCATCTTCTGATCTGTCCTCAGTTTCTGCCGTATCGACCTTAACATCATCCTCACTCACTGCCACTCTCGGATGTCTCTCCAACTCAGTGGTGGAGCTTTCCGTCGATCGATCACTAGAAGCACATATTTCAGCAAAAGAAAGGCAAAATAACATAAATTCTCAGCATCTAAAGAACACTCTCTAAACGTTCTGCCACTGAAAAGGTTTCCTTTTTGTACAACAATCTCTATACAATTCCAGAAACGAGAAATTCCTGGACGTTGAAATTCTTTGCAGCCAATTTACATAGCTTGAAAATTGCTCTTTCTTCGCCATTTCACATACCTGTTGATCCTCTGTGGAATCCACATCATATTTCCCGCCCGTCTGCCAATGCCAAAGTCCGGCGAATTCTTCAATTCAATCTTCTCTCTCGCCAACACACGCACGACGTATCGATAGTGCCTCGAGATGCGATTCAGGCGAATGATTAGGGAAATCATGGCGCCCTCGAGAAAGGCCCAAATCAACTTCAAGCCAACCAATCGCCCTCTCGGACGCTCCTCCTCTCCATCCATCTCGGTCACGCTCTCCTCCGAGCTGGACCTCTTCAGATGCTGCCGCTCAGTCGGATCGTCGTCATCGTCACTGTCCGAAGGCGATTTGTAAGCATGCGTCTGACGACTTGGTCCCGGCTTATCCCTGTCCAACTCATCGGCGTCCTCGCGACGCTTCGAAGCCAGCTTCGAAGATACCTAAAGTGCAGTTTAGCGCATTATTCAACGAAACACATTCAAATCTCTCAGCCATTTTCTCCACAATTGTATTGAATTGACACACATTCCAAATCTGAAACATCTCACCATTTTCCTGATAACAGGAAAATAGACAGAGCAAGAAGAATGGAAAATACCCTGCAATACTGTTCATAATTTTCGTGCATCAATGAATTCTTATCATATACAAGCACATGAAGAGACAACACAAATTTAGACTTTCCACAAAGGCTTTTCAAGACTAAACTACAGTGAAAAGTACATTACAATACACACAGAAAGGTTTCTTTGCGCGCTATGGAAAGTTCAGTGAATTTCTGGTGAATGTCCAAATATTAAGGACTTTTCTCCTCTATTATCCAATGATTTATCAAATAAAAGACCATGATAAATTCAACAAATGTAGTTGAGCGTACTGATATTTGTAATTTGATTCACTGAAAGAAAAATAACACTTGTCTTAGGACAAAATCAGACTGTCTCATGACATTCTGATGAATTAACATAAGACAAACATGCGAAATGTCTGAAATGAAATACAACCGGAAAATGTACCATTCTTGTGTGTATCATAATTTAAACATTATAGTTTCTATGAAGAAAAACGTATAGAAAGCAATGAAGATGATAGATTTTAGACACTTTGCAAAATCTAAACTAAAACTTATTGTGCAGCATTTTTTTTCTTCAAAGTCTAACATTACAATGTGACGTGCGATAATGAGCAGAGTGCGAAGTAAATACAATTTGCAGAAGCACATTGAATGAATTGTCTACAAAATGTTGCTTCTCTCAGAATTTAGAAAATTAGCCAATTGTTTAGTTAAATAGCGATGAAAATATACAATTTCATAACTGAATTTTGAAGTAAAAGCCACTCACATCGTCATCATCGTCTTCACCACTACCAATGTGTGACGGAAGCGGTTCAGACATAATCGAGCGACCAGAATCGAATTTCTGGTAGGATTTCCTGCCCTTTTTGGACTCACGATCACTTCTGCGATGGAAAGATGATGTGGAAAAGCCAGGATCGGATTCTGATGATTTATGCACTTTGCCTTCATTCAATTTCGTCGTTATCAACTACAAGAAATGGTTCGATTTTATGCTTTTACCAACTTGCCTTACCGATGACAAAGCAATCGTTACAATTATCGACGTTTTGATCTCTCGTGGCGCATTTTTAAAAGCACTCAAATGATGGTGGAAATACATAATTGTGATAACACAATGTTGAAGGATAAAAAGAACAAAGCAGAATTACAGAAAACACTTTTGCAAAATGAGTGAGATTCTGAAAGGAAATTCATTTCATCCTTCAAATTCTGATCTCAATTGAGTCAAATCTCTTAACATAAGAACTTCTCTCTGGTAACAAAAAATAAAGGTTTTTTAGTCAATAAATTATAGACAAAAATATTTTACGGGAAAACATAAGACAAACGAGAGGTGATTTCACAAGAAAAAAAAACAAGGGATGAAGAAATAAACAAGCTTTCAATACGAACCTCGCCCAAACCCATCTTTTTCTGCATCTTCTGCTTCTGTTGATCCTCAACATCGTCATCAGACTTTGGTTCAGCCAACAAATCCAGCTCCAATTCGTCATCGAGATCCTCAAACATGTAATAATCTCCAGAACGAATGGCTAAAAGGCAAACAAACGAGCTCGTTAGCTTCCATTTTGCACACAGACTTCGGAAATGTGTATGATACAGAGAATAAAATCGGAGGTAAATCGAAAAAGTGAAGTAAATTTTGGCGCTTGTGAAGTAAGAATGTTGAAATAGTGCCCAAATGAAGCCACATGGAGTACAAGAAAAGATATACTGAGAAATTTTTAGTCTACATTCTCTAAATGACATCATCTATTTATTAGCTTTTACACAGATTTCCACCGATGTTAGCACCTGAAAGAGACTCTCTAGCAAAATCATCTTTCCTTCTACAACAGTCATGAGAAACCACAACAATGCCGAGTAGACTTCTTGCAAATGGTTGGCGATAAAGGGGAAAATATTTATTATAATTTTCATTAGTTTTAGTTCACATCGTCCTCTAGAAATGAGACCAACCAAGGAGACATTCCAAAGAAGATTGCGCCAAAGAGCAAAGCTATTGATCGTGTTTTTGTGCTGTGTTGCTGCATTACATCCTTCAGCGGATGTGTTGAGAACAAAGTGAAGAGTTTGTACGGATTATGCACAGACCGGAGTGATCAAACGACCAACTTGTGCTAAGTTCTGACATGAAAATCAAAAGAAATGCAAGAGAACATTAAGAGTAGATAGATTGCAAGATTGTTAAACTTTGCACGTGTTTATCTTTTAATCCACACAAACTCTTCACTTCGCAAACCCTCATCAACACTGCTCAACTCAACAGATTTGCAAATTGCGCCTTCATCTAAACAGGAAAGCCTCCTCAACTAATCCAACTACAGAGCTTTATGGTTTTACTCATCAAAGGATTGCCATACCACGGGCACACCTAATCCGCTGTCTTCTCTCCTCTGCCCCCAAATCCCCCGAATCCACTTCTGTCAGAGACACATAAATAAGAAAACAGTAGTTACAACATTGTGAGACGTGTACAATAAACATGTGATTTACAGAGCCTAAAAAATAAGAGAGAAAAAAAATTGTAGCAGTAAAACAAATGCAAGCAAAATAAATCAATTTTATTGTCCATGTGTGAAGTTCTTTACCTTCTCTTGCACTCGCACTATTTACAGTGATTCTGGCAGTGTTATTTACATAATAAGAACAAAGATTTGTGTGCAAGCTCTCTTCCTCTTCAGATCTCTATACAGCCTCTTCGCTTTTTTCTCATCTACGTGCTTCTTGGGAGGGAAATAGTTACACTCGTGATGAGACACTGGTGATCGCGACGAGGTGGACAGGAGTGATTGGCGATAGGAAGCTTCGCCAACAGGACCCCAACTGAACGGCCTTCGTCGTGGAACACTTCTGGCTGAGATCTCGTCATCCACAATTGCCCAGGAGATATCGCTGGCCCTTCGCTGCGGATTGACAGTGTCCGCTGCCCAGGATGTGCCCATGCTGGACTCCCTTCGGTGTCCATGGCGCAATCTCGGTGACTCAGACGCATCGTCCGCCTCCTTCAAAGCATCAAACCATCAATCTATGCACAGCTGAATCCCTCCGAGATTGCATCTTACATCAGGCGGATCAAGATTACTTGACGCCAGTCTATTTCTGGTTCCTCCATCAAATTGATCTGGCCAGGAAACAGTATTCAAACTCGATTGTCTCCGGTGTTGTCTGTGTGACTCCCGCGAAGATTGCTTTGCCGGCGGTTGTAGGGAATTATTTTGTGCTCCAGATCGATTCTCATCCATTGGCGGTGGAGAAAACACCGGATAAGACTCATCTGATCCACCCTGAGCCGCTATCAACTCCGATCCCGGCGGTGAACTGAAGGACAAACGATGTGGCTCAAGATAACCATCCAGAGACACAGTCATCACAGCTGAACTTGGCGACGGAGCCTTCACATAAGCAATATCCCATCAATACCTTCGCTTATCAATGAGCAAAATCAATATGGATTTACTTGAGTGAGAAGCAGAGATCCTCCTCTGGACGTCATTGGTCCAAGACCAGCAATTTCCGACGGTATATCCGAACCTTCAACATCATTGAGAAGTGAACCGGCCACTTCGTCATCGATTGGCGTGTGAAATCCTGCACAAGAAGATAAACTTTGCGTTCGCGCTAAAGGTGCTTGATCATCTAGAGAAGATCATTGTGATATTTTTATCAATTTCATCATAATCAGATCACTATAAGCACTACTTCAGCTGCAAACTACCTTTTCTCTGCCTCTAAAGACTACTGAAATAAGCCAATTCACTGGACGAATCACTCATTATCATACTTACATTGTTTCTTCTCTCTTGATTTTCCCATCCAAAAATTATGCCTTCTTCTTGATCACCAAAAACATAATCACAATTTCGACAACGGAAAATTAATTATAACACAAACAAAAAAGTTGACTTGTTTCATCACTTTTGTCTCTGGCAAAATTATAAATAAACGTAACTCAAAATCCGACTATAAAGCCTTCATGTGACTCACCCTGTGCATGGGTTTTGGGCTCTTCAACAACAGGCACGAGAAGTCTCTTCTGCGTCGCCTTGATGCGATCCATTTTCATCTTCAGCTTCTTCAATATTCTCGCTTCCGCTTCCATTTCCTGCTTCATCTTCTTCTGTCGCAGCTCTTCTATCAATTCAGCCCCGCGAGAGGCCAGAATCACCCCAGCTTTCGTCTCATTCACCACATGACAGAAGTAGTAACTCTGGAAGATTCGATACTGAACGACCAGGAAAGCGAAGCAAATGACGTCCCACAAGATGCTCGCTTGATCAGCATTCACAGCACACTGGAAAACACAGTTCAATGATCAAGATATTAGCACATTCTACCTAAAACTTCAAAGCTTTGAAGAGTTGTGATAAAATCAGAATTACGTCCCTTTGTGTATTTTTGATTAGCATCAAAGAATGTTGCCATTCTCAAGAGATACAACTCATCATGATAACATAACTGCAGAAAAGTGTACACAAAATAAGAGATAACTCACCTTGACCTTAATCGATGCCACTGAAACATCTCCCTTCAGTTTCTGCGTGCACACAATGCTGAGCAGTTGAATGAGCCAGCAAGTGTACTGCTCCAGTGTCTTGTAAAACAGACATCCGGGAATCTGCAGAATTGTCTTCGTCGTTACCACGAACACATTGTACGCTATCAGTCGCAGCCACCATCTGAGAATCGTCCTCACGGGGCGCAGATAGAAGTCAGAGCCCTGCCACAGGAACGTGAAGGAGCCAATGAGATAGCCCACGGAGAACAGATTCACCCGATTGGCTCCCGTGAGGAAGACAATGGCGAGTGCGAGCCAGAAGAATCCCAGCACGAAGCCACGCTTCAACACATCCAGCCAATTTCGCACATTCGATGTAAAATCCGGCGTTGGATTCTCAAACTTCTTCCCAATGAAGCCTTCAATCTCTGTGAGGATGGATTTGTTTGTCCCACCAGGGAATTCCTGTTCCCTCTCCTGCCAATCCCTCTCAATCTTGAAGACATATCGCTGGCGAGTGACCAGCATCAACAGAATGAAGTCAGGAATGATCTTCTGGGAGATTTTAAACAATGTCGCGTCCGGAAGCATTGCCCACATTTGAAGATTCCTCAAGATTCCCTCACTCCAAGGATAAGCTAGAAAGAGTTGGATTTTATTAGAAATTGCTTGATTTACGTTTTAAAGACATTTTAAATGGGAAATTTGTAATCATGCAAAATCGGAATGTCCGTTATATTAACGATAAACTGCAAGAAGACTTACTGAGACAAAGTCCTGGCGGAACTCCAACGATGACAATGTATTGCACAACAATGGACAGAGCCGAGAACCACTGGAAAGCAGGCCACAGCATTGCCATTTTGTCCCTCTTCGCGGCGAACAAGAAGCACAACCAGATTGAGTAAAAGAGCGCAATGATGTCCATGCGGATCCCAATCACAATCACCGTGACGATCAGGCAAGCCTCGACGCCGAAGCGATGGAAGGCGTAATTGGCAAGATATTGCAGCATCAGCGTGAGATTCTGCTCTGCATCTCTTCTCGTCACCTCCGGAAACATAACATCCGGCCTCTCAGGCGACTGACCCATCTTGATCCTGTGAATTGAATTGAAACGCTCAGTCAGAGCGTGTGTGAAATTCATCACTCTTCCATTACCTCTTTATCTTCTGATGATACCTGATGATGGCATCGATTGTCACGATGGCAATGTAGCCAATGTAGTTCTTCAGCAGTGCCGTTAGTGTTGAATTCTCGGATATTTTGTGAAATCCAAACCAATCGGCATTATTGATTCCATTGGGATTCGTTTCGTTCTGCAATGAACGCACATTGTTTAGTCGTTAAAGTATTATTTGCATAACACAATTTCACATTCTACTCACATTGCAAATAACGTCGTAATTCGTGTGTTCGATGTACTTGACTTGGTAGATCATCTTGGCGAGAAACAGCACCGCCACAATGACAGAGAAGATGCGACTTATGGTAATTTGAGAGTCTGTTCTCGATAGAGCGGCAATCACAATTATTGCCGTGAAGAAGATGTGCAGGAAACACGGTTCTTTCACACAAACCATGAAGCCCACAAATATCACCAGTTTTATCAGGTGAATATCAAGAAAGAGAAGTGTCGTCTCGTATGTGTAAACTATTTTCTCCTTGACTCTCGAGAAGAAGTCATAAATCTGCAATAAGAATTGCTTTTTAGTCTTCTTTTCTTCCATTGAACACAAATCACAGATCAATGATAAATTTAATTTGAATTCAGAATTACGTCCCTTTGTGTATTTTTGATTAGCATCAAAGAATGTTGCCATTCTCAAGAGATACAACTCATCATGTTAAACTGACTTTAGCACAAATATTCCAGAGTTATAATTTACCTCTTGCTTCGACAATCCCGTCAGCGAGAGAACCTTGGCGAAGAGTGACTTCTTTCCTTTGGCATTCTTTGGAGATTCATCAGATTCATCCAAGTTCTCGTACTGCCTTGAATTCGGCTCTATGGCTTCCAAATTTGAACCCTCAAGTGGTTCCAGCAATGCCAAGAACTTGCTGTGGAAGTAATGCAACTGCAGCACTGTCATCACAACAACAATTGTCGGTATTGCGAGATGCAGAAAGAGATCTCCAGTTTTATACTTCTCCAATCCAATATCACCTTGTCTGTAAAGTTTAATACATACGATTAATTTCACACGTTTTTCTCACTGGATTTTGCTGCATTGCCACTCACAGCGTCTCTGATATGTTGAGATACTCTGACCAATACTGCGGGAATCGGTCGAATTGATATGTGTAGACCAACACTAAAATCACCATGGCATAAATAATTACAGTCAACCAAAAGCCATACATCATTTTCTTCCATGCTTTCCACGAAACCTGAGGACAAAGACAGCAATTCATTAGAGGAATTCTACGAAATTTGTCATTCAACAAGAGTGTTTCTCTTCAAAAATCGTCAAGAGGCAGGGAAAGAACCAGAATTGGTGATTCTACAGATCAATTTCGATACCCGGTGACAATAATTTCAGCTCTTCTGCTTCAATTTTAGCGTCGACTTGCTAAAGGTCTCTTCATGTCAATTAATTTCACTAAAATTGCACGTTCATTCACCCTCAATAAATGTCAATTCCTATGGAAATTCAATAATAAAACACTCTTGTCGGCGATGGTCAATAAACTCACTTGGAATGTGAGGAGGAAGACAAGGAAGAGTGCCATGTAGATGATTCTAAAGCCAGTCATTCGTTGGCCAGCAATACCAGAGGCAAACAATGTTATGACAACAATCCATATCCAGAATCTCGTGAGAAATGCATCAAATAATATTGCCGCCTTTGTGATGAACTGCGACTGTTTGGCCTTCTCGTCTGCTCGCGGTGCCAAATCTGTCAGAGATGTGAAGATAGATGACATGAGAAACTCGCAACGTTGGGGAATTTTCAATGTAAACTCACCAGCTGTGGCTGCGCCAACAGTCACTTGCAGAGGCGCCACCATATCCGCCAAGGTGGATGTCTGTCTCTGCTCCCGACGCTCTTTAGTCATCTGCCTCAGCGTCACCCAGAACATGAGAGTGAAGATGGTCTTCATGATCAGCGGGCCGCATGGTAAATACGTGTACTTCACCAGGCCGATTTGCGAGAGATTTATCCCTTTGATCTGTCACCAGAGAGAGAGAACAAACTTCAGAACACTGCCAAAAAACACACTAGATTCAATTTGTCAACATACATCAATTGTCGCCGGAAGTTCATCCTCATTCAGATCCATGCCATAGATGTACTGAGCCAGAAGAAGCAACTCTGCGTAGATCACAACAAAAGGACTAGATTGCAACATTGTCTTCCTCTGATTTGGAATTATCCACAAGACATTGGCCCAAATCAGTAAGATGAACGTCAACCAGCTGTGATACATTATGCTCCACGTCTGCAACAATAAACACATCTCGTCACGTTAAGCAAACGTTTAAAAAATCGCCAATGGGAAAATATCAACTCACCATCATTGCAATATTCATAAAGATGTAGCAATGCTTGAATATAAATCCAGTGATATTCTGTACAAATGTGAAGAAACTATCCAATATTCCTGAGGTATCCTCTTCTGTGGAAGCAATTTCATTTCCTTCTTAGTGGTTTTTTTTTTTGTTTTTCGTAGGGGAAATTTGATGGTTGATCAACAGGATTTGGATGTTGTGTGCATCAACGCCAAAAAGGTGTGGAAAGAGAAACAGGACAAATGATTGTGCATAAAATACAGAATGAATATTTTGCAATGAGACAATATTCACAAGAATGCCAGGAAGGATAGAGAAAATTGAAAAAATTCGCACAAGAACTACCAGAAATTTCAGAAACAGACAAAAATTATGTAATAAACCGAGTTCTTATGGATTTGAGTTTATTAAGAGCTAGAAACAATAAGATTAATTCTTAGGCAACTTGTTTCAGAATTATGCGCACAAATGTTTTTTTTTTCTATTGCTTTAACAGAATTTCTGATGATATCAGAAACAACCTGCTTTTGCTCTACACGAGAAGAGACAAATTTCCAGTAGTCCAAGGCGTAAAAAAGAACAATAAAAACATAAAAGAGCACAAAAAGTATGGGAATCATAAAAATTAATTCCACAAATGACCAATCCTTGCTTCAATATCAACACGAAATATTGCTCTAGTGAACTTACCAAGTTCATTCATTGGAATTCCGTCTCCGTCCCTTGAATTCCTACCAGTCAAGCTTGGCATTCTCATTCTTCTTGTACTGCGTCTCATCAGCTAAAAAACATTTAGTCAATTAATAATTATGCTTATTTCCATCCTGAGACTAAATATTCGCAATTTTCAAAGCACAACACTATAAAGAGAGTTTTACAGTCATTCTTGGGTGCGGAAAGAAAAACACAAAATAGACAGAAATAGTGATATTTTACACATATCATCTACCAGACAATTTCTAATGATCTGGATGATAAAGGCTTTGGCACTAAAGGAGGAAAATAGACACACACAAAATTAACAGTGGAATAAGATAAAATTATTCAATACGTACAGGTGTTTGTTCTGTGGGAACAAAATTCAGTTCTTGATATTCACGTGCCTAAAAAAATGTCAAAAAGCCAAAATAGAAAATAAAAAAACAGACAAAATAAACATGATATTGCAGAAAATGTCGAGTGAATTGAGCAAACTCATGCAAATCCCGAACAATCTTGCAAATTGATCAAGGGTGACTCTTTAATTTCCCTGATGGTTAGTCAACATGTCTAATGGATTGTGTTAATTGCTGTTAATCACACGCCTCTGCACAGCCCGAATGTGTAGTTATCATGTATCAAACAAGGAGTGAAATTGTGCAATATGTGAACTTTTGCAACACACCGGAAAGTTATATCTCGAGAAACCACTCAAATAAATTTATTTTACTAAATTTATGAGCTATATATTCCTCGTAGAAGCAATAAATTGTTTACAGCGCTCCCAAAACTCTTCCTCTTCTTCTCACACCAAAATAATATCTATTTATAAAGATCTCTCCATTCCTTTATACATTATTTATTCCTATGAACGTGAACTTTTTTTTCCATAAATATTTACAGTCAAAAAGGTGGTGTGATAACAAAGGAAACACATTATCTTTAAGCATTCAGTGAGAGACTTACTTTAACCTTTCTCGTGGTGTTTTGCCACTTTTCACGTGTACCAATCTTACGTGCAACTGGTGGTACATTTGGATATTTCACAGAGAGCTGCTGACCGAATTTCGTGCCATTCTCCAGCTGGCCAAACACCCCACCAGCCTTGTTCTTTATATCCTACGCACACCATTGTGTCAGTGGTTAATTAAATCACACGGAAAATGCTCCTCTGCCATCATAATTAATATCCTCGAAAAAAAGCATTACCGCATGGAAGTGTAAAACGAACTCAAGAATATAAAAAACATAATGCTTGTATAATGTCTCATTAGAATCACGCTACATGAAGAAAAAACGGAAAGGGAAATTAGAGTGAATGAAAATAAACATTGATCTCCAATCTACCGTGGCGAAAGAGAGGAAAAAAAATACCAATATAAACTAACAACAACCCATCGAAGTCAGTAAACCATTCAATTTTTGTTATATATGTTCCAAAACGGAGGCATAAATAAACATCAACAAACCAAACTCATTCGCGGATGCACTAGAGCAGCAAATAGCTCACCTTTTGTCTCAATATCATTGTCGATGAGATTGCCAGTGTGTAGAAGCAGAGGAGAATGATGACTGGATTGAGGATTGCATCGATTGGTGCATCAGTGTTAAAATTTACAATCCGAATATCATCCGCGTATGTTCCGTTGAAGGTACCATTAGAGTTATCACAAGTTGATATAAAAAGTGGCACAAATCCCAAGAGTCTGCAATGCAAATGAATCTAACAATTAGTTGCCCGCCAAATCATCGCGCAGATCTCTTACCTTGGCAATAAGTTATCACCCGGAAAATATTCCTGCGGCCACGGCGTCTGATACATCATAAATGCAATAATGTGAATGCTGAGGAAGAGCATAATCACGCGTGATATGATTGCGAAACCCCTGCAAAACAGATACCATCGGACAGAGACACATTAGCCTAATGCCTAATCGTGTGATTGATGATTGAGCACCTTTCGAGCTTCCCGTAGCACGCCCACCATGTGGCCAGGCCCAGAAACATGAGGAAATACACACCGCTCGGGACCGACGGACGCATCACCGAGGCGAGCAGGAGTGCCGCCATGGACAGCACTTTGGCCGCCACGCAGATCACATTGTACTTCTCCACAGTGTAGCTCGGCTCGTCGGCCGCCTCATCGCGCTGGCCCTCGTCGCCGGCGCCCTCGCTCGGCGCCGCCTGTCCATTGGCCATCATCTTCAGGATGAAATACACGCCAGTGGACGCCAGCAGCAACACCAACTCCGGCGCAATCCATACGATCACAGAGAGAGCACTGAAAGACGCAGCAGAAAGATTAGCAAAGATGAAAGAGAATATTAATGGGACTCTGACTATTTCTACAAACTCTTAAACATCCAACAAATTATTTTTAGATAAAAACTCACAAACGCTAAAAATGTCACGCAAAGTGTTGAAATTGAGATGCAATATTCGATGTTGCAAGCCATGACGATGAGGTGTACAAAAATTATCGTCTGCTTGCCAATAAATCAATTAAAATCACTCTAAGAGCATCGACAGATAAAACGCTCAGAATGAACGCTATCTTATCTTGCTCAGCGAATAATAACACTGATAAAAGCAGCGCAATGACTCAGGAGAAAAAACAACAACAAAAATTTGACTCACAATAAAGAAACACCCTCATTCTAAATTAAAAGGTCACACATAGAAGAACAAACACAGCAATAAACCGACCGGTTTGAGTTGTTTCGTGTGACAAATATTGTAAGTAATAAAGCAATTGCTGTAAAAAAAAATATACTCACGATAAATCACTTAAGCGAATAAATCCAATATGCCTGAGAATCTTCTCAGTCAATCCGCAAAATTCCAACTTATCATATCCAATTGATAAGAGAACACTCTCAAAAACCCCATGGCATAAACTCGTGAGTGTGGCCACGAGAATGAGTAGTTTGAAGTACGTTCCAGTGCGACCTGAAAGAGACAGGATCAATCTCAAGATCCAGAGAAATCCCCACGGACGCTGTTCTCACCTTTGATCGTGACTGGCGTGGCGACAGGTACAAAGGGCAGCAGAAAGAGGAAGAGAAGATAGAGCAGCGACAGTGCCACTGGCCTAAATAAACAACCTGCGAGAAGAGACAGCAAATTATTAAACAAATATCAAGTGACAAGCTTCTGAGTTACAAATGAAAAATAAAAAGAATCTCGCTAAAGTGTTATCAATTGTATATAGAAGAAGCTTGTTCGCATGATTTCGTGGCCTTCGAGTGATAACTTTGTGGGCATTTCACAGCGAAATTCAATGATAGTCGCCAATTACATGGTTTTTTTATGGCGAAATATTTTGACTAATTATCACATTTCAAGCTTGTTCAGCGCCTGAATCACTGTTATGATGATCTCTTGCTCATGAGAATCCACAGAAATTTGCTGGCGCATTTCCCAGAACAGCCACTTTTTGCCACCGACATCGCAGCATTAACAATCGATTCATTTGTCCAACGGTGATTCACTTAATTGATTGTGAGACCTATTTAGAGACTCCCTTTCTCGCCTCTTTCAGGCCATTGATCCAATTTCTCTCTCTCTCCCAAAGCGCGCACGGAAAAGTCAAGGCGCAGGATTTGTGTCAACGACTTGCAATGTCTCTATCCATTTACACCGCCAACGAAACTATTGAGGCCGTTATCGCTCTTTTACGACCCACTTTCATCACTCGCGGGTGCCTTCATTCAGCCGCCTTTGTTGATATTTTCGGCTGCACGTGGTCGAAGGGTTTGAGGGTTTGTCCATTCTCAAAACACCACACCTTAATTGGCCGTTGGCTCTTGAAAATCCTTTCACGCACATTTAGCCTTTCACTCACTCTCTCTCACTCTGTTTCAGCGCTGTGCCAAACGTGGAAAAATTGATTTTTCTTCCGCCTCACCGTCTTCTTCACGAGGTGCTTTTTCATTGACAACATCGCGGCAAGATAAACTCGTCCAATTTCCCACCGCGATCACTTCCACCCAATTTCCCTCACTTACAAGCAGCTAGAAGCGCAGGAAAGAGCACACGCTGCACCAGCATACAGCCATAGTACTTCGCCATCGTGTCCTTCTCCAATTAATATCTCCTCTTCATGCAAATGAGACTCTGAAAAGACACACGACACACCACAACACAATATTAATTTAGCGAAAAAAAAGAGACAGGCGGAATCGCAGAAACTTTTTTCCATTCCGCTGAAAAGCGACTCACACATGAAAATTGAAAGTGCGATGACAATTTTCGCCTTGGCAGCGAATAGAGTCGAAAAGACTCAAACAATTAGAATTGTGTGAAAAAGTGTTGGCCGCATTTGTGAGATAAATCCAAATACAACACACATGTTTCCCTGCCTATTTGATATTTCAAAACTTCTCCCCTTTTTTTCTTCTACAATTCACAAAATAATCAACGATAGAGAATAGAAATTCCGTGGATTCCGCGGCAATTTTGCCACCCACTTGGCCAAATGCCAGCCACACCACTGAAAATTCCCGTGCGATGATTTTTTTATGTTCTTCTCCTTCTCTCACTGTAATCCAAACGAACAACACCAACGAGGAAGTTCAATAGTTCAATACACAACAAGAATCTCAGCAATTAAATTATGATTTCATCAATCACTCAACTGACGATTGTAAATTTGATAGAAAAAACTCAATTGTATTAATGATAATTTGGTCGTATTGCCGTGTAAAAACTCATGAGAAACACTTTTTGAGTTGCTGCCTTTATCGCGCCAACGGATTAACGAAGCGCGTGTATTTTCCGCGAGAGCTCAGACACAACTGAAGGCGAAAAGAACCGCGAGAGACGAGCCGTGCAAAAGGCAAACTCCAAGAGCGATACATTGTGTAGAATGTGGCATTCTACAGTGCCGGGCGCGTCTTCAGGCACAACACTAAATCCTTATTTTGTCGCCTCAGCCTTAAGTATTACTAGGTCAAAATCTTTGCAAAGAAATTATTGCTTTATCAACAATCTTGTCTTGTAAGTCACAAACGTTAGAGATTTGGCACTGAAAATATGTAGAAATATGTAAAATTCACAACATTTTCTCTAATTTTCCATCATTTTTGCGCTGATTTCATTTGATTCAGTGATTTTTCACGAATCGACATAATTTTCTCGACTTGATTGAGTCTCTTGATTCAATTTCCACGCTCATAAATTGAATTTTACCCCTCAAATTGGGGAAAAAGTGTATTCATTCATATTCTAACGACATTCTTTTTTATCTGATGTAGAAAAAAAGGATTTATTCTGTATTCTTTAGGTTTATCGCTAATAAAAAGCTAAGCGCTTTCTAGCGTCAATATTTCTTCCTAAATGATGTATTTATTTTGTGCTTGTGCCTAACAGCATTGCCGCGAGTGTGACTTTTTCCGTCTGCATTTCGCGATGTGGCGCTCATGGAAAATTAGCCAAAAATAAACGAGTGGCTCGCGAGCGAAAGTAAGGGAGTGACATCACGCGATAGCCGATGTCCTGAAGGCGCCCCAGAGATTTCTGCTCCCGATAAAAGCGCCCCTGGAGAAGTGCGCGCGACCACGCCGGAGAGCCATTGGCAAATTGAGTGCTGCCCCAATTCGCGGCTCCCCATTTTTGGCTCTCCGCGCGAAACCGGCTCTGTGTCATCGGCATATTCGCCAAATGACTTCAGTCTGTTTTTTTGCGCCATTCTGCAATTTACGACCGGCGATAGTGAGCTTCCCGCTGCTTCCCACTCGCCCGGCTTCGGCCGCACAGCCGGCCGCCAAATCCGGCTGATTGCGATTTTATGTGAAGCTCGCGGTGTCCCTGAATGCCCCTTGTGAATATTTTATATCCGACTCACAGTATTTTCTTCACGCTCGCTGATTTTCCTCCTCGTTCTCCCACGTGCGCCTTCCATGGATCACCACTGCTCAGCTTCACGTCCCTGAGGAATCTCAGGATCCCACCTTCATTGGGCCACAGACAAAAATGCTAATGAAGGCGTATGTATGGAAAGTTTAGAGCCTCAGAAACAAAAGAAAAGTGAAGAAAATCCACTTGAAAAACTCTGCAAACTCGCACACACGCGCATTGTTTTGACAACGCACGCGGTCCGGAAGAAATACTCGCATGCAAGCACTCGTCCACCTGTGTCTTTTTCTAGCAGGTGGCGCTGATGCTTGTGGACCTTGTGGATGTTGATTTGAAAAGAAACGTCGTGTGGTGAAAAAACTTACAAGGAAATTCTTATATTTTCTTAAATCTCCAATGAAAACTCAGAAAAACTAGTTATTCATATGACTCAGATTAGATGAATGGAGTGAAAATAAATGAAAACTGCTTCGTTTTTTTTTCTAAAACTTTATTTTTTTCGGTTTGTAATTAAATCCTCGCAAAGTGGGAAACTTTAAAATTTCAAATAATTTTACATTTTGCTTCAATTGTCAATTTGATTTTCTTTTTACATTTCTAAGTTTTTTAATTAAGATTCCAACGTTTTAAGCATTTTGGCAGGAATTTTCATTAATTATTTCTCCTTTTTATTCAAAAATTTTTTTTATCGTAAAATCCATCGATTGTGAATCAATTTTATGCAAATCTCTCACTGGATCAATTTCTTGAACCCCATTTTTTTTTAATATCATTCTACGTAACTTTTATTAGCGAGTATCTTCACATAATTTAAGTATTTTATACGTTTCCTATATTTCATTAAGTACTGTGGATTTCAAGCAGTGGTTGTAATCTATTCAGGGTCACTTCTTGGAGTCACTCTTGATGATCGGCGAGTGACTCGCAATTGATCTCGCTCATTTTTCATCATCATTACACAACGCATAAAGGCACAGGATATTGGAAGAGTTTCGCTTTTCAATCAAAAGTCATTAATATATTGTCTTGAATCTTCTCTTTTGATTACAACTCAACAGATAAAACCGATCTACAAACTGGAGTTCATTTAGGACATAACATTTGGTAACTCCTTTCTAGAAAAATGATTTACTGTCCATTCCTTGGACGTGACAAAAAGGTGTGTAATATTAAGTTGAACACTGGAATTCGATCTTTCTCTAAATTGAAAAACCTGTCAAGTATCGTAAAATAGATAAAAATTCGTAATATGATGTGTTTGAATTTTATCAAGAAATATTTGATATTATATTTTTCACATTTTCACTGTTTTAAGTACATTGTTTACACTATTTTTTTTTAGTATATGATTTTTTTCTTCACTTGATTACGACAATCTCAATTAAAAGATCTGCAAAAATTTCTTTTCATTCCTACACCACTAATTTGAAAGATCCAAAATTATTGTCCTTTCACAAGTTGTCAATTTTTTTTTACGTTAAACATTATTAAATAATTTCTTCTCTCCACTTCTAGCAGTTTAACAACTGATTTTGATATATTTTTTATACTCTTTTGCTGCGCCTGCGCGGCTGAACATTTTTCACCTACATTTTTACAATTTCCTTTGACTGAGCAAATGATTAAACTTTCTCTCTTAATACTTTGCAAAAAAAACAGTTGAAAAGAACACTCTTAACATGATTATTATTGTAAGTCATAAATTGTCCGATTTGCACCGAACATTTCGATTATGCGACTGTTGGTTGAAATCTATATTCTTTAAGTTTCAAGTTCAATATTAAATATAGTACGAATTTTAGGATATATATTTTTTATTGATTTTTATGTATCTTTTCTAATTTATTCTCTCTCACTTGTATGACTTCTATATGTGGTCAAAGACATTGCATTGCAATGAGGTTTATTATTTTGAATTCTCTTTGTTTTGCTCAACGATCCAACAAATACATTAAGTGAGGCTTTTCTTGTCATTTTTTTTTCTTTTCTTTTATTTTTGAAGGACCTTGTCAAAGGAAAAACTCATCATTTGGCACTTTGATTATAGTGATAGAGGGATAAAAGTTTGAAAATATAGTCACTCTATAATATTTCAACAAAAATACTTTTGTAATTTCCCAGAATCACGGTTGCAGAAGGTTTTAAAAATTAGTTCTCTTCATCTTCATTTTCTGTTTTTGTAAAAATAGTCACATCTTCATTAATATTTTGACAATTTGTCTCATAAATATATCTTCACTTTCTTTCGATCTTCACGCTACGTATAATAATCGTTTATTCGTTCTTTAAAAGTATTTATTGTCATAAATTCCAACAGCAAATAGAATATTTAAGTTGAATATTGTCCCTTTATATTTTCATAATGTAAGTTTTTCTTTTATATTTGCTTGTTCAGTTAAAATTAATGTGCTGGTTCTGTTATACACACTTCTACCGTCAATTGTCCTCAACATCTAAAGCTATTAGTTTCAATATTTTCTTTCATTAATATTTCAAATACTTTTTGCATTTACAACACTTTCTTATACCTTTTTTTTACATGCATGATTTGTTTTCCTCTTCTTTTCTCTCAAAGGGTCGCCACACGTGAAATATGCATGTGTCTGACGATAATCACTTGGCAAAACTGTAATCTAAAACTTGTACAAATTCCTTCGGATTTCCTTTTACGATATTAATTAGTTTCTCGCGATCATACTGATTCATTTTTTCTTCAAGTTAGTTTTAGCTTTTATTTATAAAATAATTGAACTTGACATAAGCGTGTTTCACCCTAAAAAGTCTATTTTTTTTTAGTTTCCTTTAGATGCCTAATATTCTCACCACTTTTTATTCCTTTTAATAAGTCGAAAGCTTGCTATTTTGTCTACTGCTCGCACTACATTTGAAATGATAAGAGAAGAAAGAACACTTCATAGTCAGAATCGTTGCAAGAAAGAAGATTTTTTTTAGACCTAACATTTGAAAAGTGACGGAAAAATTGTGCTGCCAAACAACTTCTGTCATTTTTATTTTTCATTTCAAGAGGATCCAAAGGTCTCTAAACAATCGAAAGAGATGCAATTATATTTCTAGAGTCGATGTTAAATTTTTTATAGATTTGAGCAATGGAAAGAAGACATAAATTCCCTTACGATCTACGTTGAAAGCTATTTTGATTACTAATGTATATATACTTTTTTTTAGAAATGTTAGCAAAGCTTATCAGAATCTCCTGTTCGCACGATAATGCCTACGTCGCAAAACTACGCGCTATACTAAGTATTCTACGTGGGTACCCATATCTCATCGATTTATAGTCAACGTGTGAACCAGTTTCGGGTTCATCTCATCGAGGTCCTTTCCCTTTGTCTCCGGAACGAAGGTGACGATGAAGCATAGGCCGATGCAGGAAATGCACGCGTACAGCCAAAATGCACCATGAAGTCCGAATATTTCCTTAAAACGACACGCGCATTTAGTGTGCTGAAGATCTTTGTGATTACATTTGTGACCAACCTGGAAGTCCACGAAGGTTTTTACGCCGAGGAACGCACAGAAGTAGCCAAAACTAGTGGCAATTGAGCTTCCGACACCACGAAATTCCAATGGGAATAGTTCGCCAACAAGAAGGGAAGATATTGGGGAGATGCCTGTAATGAGAGTCAAAAGTTTCAGCAATTAATGCCTCAGAGTTGAGAGTGACATGTGACTTACCAAGTTGAAATGCAATTGTGAAAACTGGAAAATAGAGAGAGGCATTAGGAAAACAATTACAAGAATCGTTAACATTGCTAATTGATAATTTTCTCTTAGTGCTTTTCAAGATTGCAAGGCGCTTTTAAAAGAGTATTTTTACAAAAAAAATATTATCTGGCAGGTGATAAAAATATCAGTTGATTATCAGGATGCATTTTGCATCCTTTCCTCACATAATTCAATGGAAATTATTCTGTAACTCAATATATTAAATGTAGTGAAGTGCACAGATTTTGCCATTAGTTGGCGGCAAAGCTGCACAATCTCTGCATGTGAGCCCATCTAAATTGTTTCAATTCCACTCACCGAGGACACAGAGGAGGGGAATCCAGTCGTTGTTGTATGCAGTGTCGACTTCAAAATTATTCGTAGCAATTAATTTATTCGTTTCCTCGTAATAAACGTAGGATCCAAAGCTGGCGAGTGCGAGTGACATGAAGACACTGCTCGTAATTAATAGAGGAATTCTGCCCACCCTGTCAATTAATAAGCCGGACAACATCGACGCCAGCAGCTGGACGAAGCCCACCGACACGGCGCCTCCGTGCGGATTCATTCCGGCGAACGTCTTCCTGAAGATTCTCACTGCATAGAAACCGAATGAGTTGGCACCTGGCAAAGAGAAGCGCACAGATCGATAGTCTCATCGAGATTGTCTCTCACTTGTTATGCTAATCGCGTCAATGGGGCGCATTCATTATACACTCGCAGGAGATTACATTTATGATTTCACACCACTGAGGAGGGTCATTGATCAGTGTTGGGCCCATTGAAGCAACAATTAAGAGATGTTGCTGCTAATATATCATAACAATAATATTCAAATTTGGCCGAAGAAGTGGGAGAGAAAAGGGCAGCATTTTTTCCTCGTATTGAATTACAAACAGCTTAATGAATAAATTAGGCATTAGAGATTCTCATCCAGATCATTAAGTTTGAGCGGAGGAACAATTTACACATTTCACTTTCCGCCTTGGCGATGCGCGGAAGAAAAAAAAATCTCTCTGCGTCGCATGAGAGACAAAATGTTTGAAGTGATATATCTTCTAATGGCATTACCTGTAAATCGTTGAAAAATCATAAGGCCGCAGGTTATTGAGACAGGTTTGATGAGGCGTGCATTCTTCAGAGCTGACTTTATATTGGCCAAGATGATTCTTATGGATGCACTCGACAGCAGATTCGTGGTGTTGATCTTCGGCAGGATTGCAATATTTGTCTTCACCGCCCGTATGTTTGACCTGATAGTTTCCAATTCCAGTTCTACATTTCTATTTGGACCTCGAAGCCACAGAAGAGATCTGCGGAGAGCGAGAGAGAGAGAGAGTCTCAGTGGGGGGTTTCTAATGTGCACTGCGAAGGTGCGCGTAATCTCACCGATAGGCGTCCTCGTCACGTCCCTTCAGCACTAAGTAACTCGGAGTTTCTGGTACATAAATCACAGTTAGAAAAAGCATAATTGGAGCCACCGACACGAGCATAGCGAGCTGCCGCCAGTCAAGATACGCGCCCAGGGAGAATGATATCAGGAATCCCAAGTGGCCGGCAATTTTCTGAATGGCACTCAAGAATCCACGGATATCGGGTGAGGAGATCTCGCTGATGTAGACCTGTAGAGACGAATGGCGGGTGATTGAAAAATATTGGGCGAAAGTGAGGGGGGCAATAAATAAATCGAATTACTTGAGTCACCATGGAGATGATTGAGCAGCAGAAGCCCCCGAAGAACGCCGTCATAAACATCGTTTCCACTGACTTGGCAAACACTGTGATTATCCACGATAGCGAAAAGGGTAGAGACATAAAGGCTAGAATCCTCTTGCGGCCGTACTGCATGGCCAGACCGCCGAATAAGCCACCGAACAGGGCACCTGCACCAAATTATTGTAATTTATTTGCATTAGACATTCCGGATGAGAGATCCTCGGGGATGTTTATGGCATCCGCCTTACCTAGAAGGGTCAGGCTGGCCACCCAGCTGGCCTGCTGATCGCTCACGGAGAAGGCCGTGTAGTTCCCACGCGGTTTGATTTGTAACTCCTGCAGACTGTCGATGGCGGGACTGGCGTAGCCCTTGCCCAAGCCAGCGGCCAGCGGCCCCAAGGAGATCGCCAAAGCGGCCACAATCTGAAAATAAGGAAAGGGGAAGGCAGACAAATGAGTCGTTCCTTATCTGGTCAATCAAATGTTCCACCCAACTATTCCCTCTATATCTGATTTCACATGCCCAACAAGGACTTCTAACACTGCTCAAACGACAGATTACTATGCATATGTGATAAATGATTTAAAGCCGCAGTCAGAGGAGAGAAAATTTAAGACCCATCAACCATAATTGTGTAGGTGTGTTGAGGAATTTGTATGCAAAGCCAATAAAATTGAAAATCTCTCTTTCTTCCGAACGTGTCAGCAACAATGCCCAAGATCTGCCACAAATGGTGTTGAGGGTTAAGTGGAGATTTTCGTCTAGCCAGAGAGACACAATGCACCGTCTTGATCAATTTCACTCTGATTTCACCCATCAAAGCGACCAATTTGCAACAATATGATTGGCGCCAAACGATCGACAAATAACATGCAATTCCTTTTAAGCCATCCTCTTTGCGGCGAGACACTCCATGAAAAGATCGAAATCCGCGGCATTGTTTTCATCGTTACACAAGCGCCAAGATTGATAACACATGCAAGGATTTAGTACCAGAATAGCAACGACGCTCTTTCACTCTACAGCTTTAGAAGGAAGTGCGAAATCAGTGTGCATAAATTAAACAGTTGGCATAAAATTTATCTTCTCTTAAAATAAGAGTTTTCTTCCTTATACGATGAGTATTTTGAATATCATTGAATTCATTTAACAGAAGAGAGTGAAGCAGTGTTTTCATAGAATTCTGTATATTCAAAATTGCTCCGCTTTCCCATATTCTGCACTGTATGACGTCAATCAATAGATAAACTTGAGCTGAGACTAGAGCGAAGTAAAATGTTATTGATTTAATGTTTTAGTGCATGTAAAGCGCTTTGTTCATCGCATATTCCCGTGTCATTCTTTCGAATTTTTCAACATATAGTCAGAGTGCATTTTTGCGCCCAGAAAACACATCCACGAATGCATCATTCGACATCAATTTTCATGTCATTCTCTGGAACACTCTTGTGCCGTCGTACTTCAGGCAGAGGTCTGAAATATAACACTATATCGCCCAGTTTAATATTAATTGTCCGAGATTTACAGTGTTGATTGCAACAATAGAATTGTTTAGCAACATTCTTCTAGGAAATTTAACTAAATTGCTTAGTCTGTCTCCCCTTTTTCATCACCATAAGTCAACATGAAGGCCAGGGTGTGGGACATCGAGCGAACATTCCCCAGATATTCGCTCTGCCTCTCTCTTTCCCATTCGTCACAATGACTTGAAATTTTTGCCAATAAAATGATTACGCAATTTAACAACCCTTTCAATTTGGGGAAATCAGAGAAAACTCACAAATTGCTCTTTTGCCGTGTCACTTCGCGTCAAAGCGAGGGAAGAATCAATCAGACTAATGAATTTCTCACAAATTAATTTCAAAATTCACGTTTAGTACTCGCGCCCTTATTAATTTATGCGTACTTTGCTCAATAAGTTACTTTTAATAGCCTCCATTATAATGCCAGAAAACGTACAAAAGACACACTATATGCATTACTCGCTACATTTGCCCAAATATTACATTTGGCAAATTTATATTTATACTCATTCATTTCTCCACAATTTGTCTATGTGGAAGAAATGTCATCAGGCTGTAATGTACATACATAAATTTGGGAAAGAGAAATACAGCCATTAAGAACACGCACTTATCCTTGTGTGTATATTAAATATAATCTTTCAATCTTTAAATGCTTCGCTTGTTTGTGTCACCACTAAATTTATAAATTTCCTACGCAAACTATTTGTCTGCGTCTCTTTTGTGTGTTCCTTATACCAAATTTATATCATTCCCTGGAGGAAGCAAACAGTGCGAAGCGTCATGCGAAGCAATGTTCATTATGACAACAGCAATTGCACATCACTCTGCAGAGCCGTGTAAAATTTTCACTTAGAAATGTTTGTATTTAAAAAGCATTTCTCCTGCCACAAAACACACTACTTGGTGGAGATGAAAGATCCCAAAATAAGCGCCCCGTGGCTCGTGGCTCCACTTAATTTATTGACCATCCAATAAATTGATCTCTTTCTCTATCTCAAGAACTACCTTTTTCACATGGCCGAGAGGAAATTTATTGGGCGATCATTGCGTAGAAACCAGAGAAAGTCATTATTTGCGAAAATCCAAACGACCACATAATCTTCTACTGTACTTTCGAGAATAAATTTGCGTGCAAATAAACAGATGAGAAAGTTTTTGAGAGGAAAAATCCAATGGGAGAAATTATCTGAATTCCACCAGCCCGAAGAGGATGTTTTGATGCGAGCGGATGAAAAGTGATCTGGATTTGAAAATGTGTGGAATGGCATGCAAGTGGAAAGGGAGCTGTCAAAAGTTACGTGACAAATGCGCCAGTTTGTTTGTGCTCGCTGTGTTTTTCTGTTTATGTGCCCTCAAAAGGCTTCCGGAAGCTGAGCCCCCAGGCTGTGAAGATGACCAATACATCGCAGGACTGCACACAAAGCCAGTCACAGTCCTTCACGGACAGTGAGTACGCATCGCAAGAGACAATCGGTGCCGAGGAGCTCGATAACACCAGGCATCCGTGGGGGCGAGTTTTTGTGCAGAAGCTGCGCGCCCCCATGGAAGCGTCCGCCAGAGAGTGCTGCCTCAATGACTACTGCAACGACGGAGATGGCACATTTCACGATCTCTTCGACGAGGAGTGGTCAGTTGGCCGCGAAGGCGCCTTGAGTTTCATCATCACGCAGAGCGAGATGCCGGAAAGCGAGCGACTGAAGCTGAGCAAGGTGCATTTTGTCATCAGACGCGACTTGAGCCACCCCTTCAATCCACCCATACTGGAAGATCTCTCCCGAAACGGCACGTTCCTGGACGCGTCGCACGTCGGCAAAGGCCGCAGTCGCGTGTTGCGCAGCGGCAACTTCATCAGCGTGCTGGCGCCGAAGTTCTTCCTGTTCCGCTTTTGCGACCTCAACAAGAACTTCACGGTGGATGTGCCGCCGGAGATCGCCCAGCACTACTACATGGGCAAGAAGCTGGGCGCCGGCGGCTGTGGCATGGTGCTCAAGGTGTTTCACGTGCGCTCGTGCACGCCATACGCCATGAAGATCGTGCAGAAGTGTCAGTTCAGTGAGGCGTCCAGAGCGGGCAAACAGAAGGTGCTCAACGAGATTGAGATTTTGAAGCGACTCAAGCATCCGTGCGTGATTCAGATGCACGAAATCGTCAATCGTCCGGAAGCGGTGTTCATACTTTTCGAGCTGATGAATGGCGGCGATCTGTGTCAGCGCATCATGTCGCATCCACTGAAGCGACTGCCTGAGGATCTGGCCCGAGTCTACTTCTTGCAGACGTGCTACGCCGTGTGCTACCTGCACACGCAGAATATCACACATCGTGACTTGAAGCCGGAGAATATTCTTCTCGCCACCCGTGAGGACGTGACATTGGCGAAGGTGACAGATTTCGGGCTCAGCAAGCTCGTGCGAACGAACAGCGTGATGAAGACGATGTGTGGCACACCGCAATATGTCGCGCCGGAGGTGGTAAACAAGGACAGGGCCACGTACACGGAGAAGGTGGACACCTGGAGCCTCGGCGTGATGCTGTACACGGCCGTGTGCGGGGACTTTCCGTTCGTCCTGCACAACGGGCGGCGCCAAGTGACGCTGAGCTCATTCTTCCGGACCCTGAGCAGGGACGTGCAAGTGCTCATCTTCGACTGTCTGCGCTTGGAGCCGGAGAAGCGCCCCACAATCGAGCAAGTGCTCAAGTACAAATGGCTCGCGGACGAGCGCACGCGAAACACTGTCGCGCAGTTGATAGAGAACGCCATCCCAGGAAGTGACGACGCCGCAGTATGAGCAATTCATGAAGTCGCCGGCGAAAAGGATTCGCGTAGATTTTCAACACTTTAACAACTTTAATGCTCTAATTTTAATACTGATGAAATTTTGTGATCTCAAAAAATGTTTCGTTTCTTCACATTTTGATGAATAACCAGTGAAATGTTGAATTATGTTTGTGTTCTTGAGCCTTTTTATAGGCTCACTTTTGACTTTAGTGATGAAAAGTGCCTTAGGGGTAAATGGGGCAGCTTCAGATTGGGGCAGCTTCAGATTTCTTAATTTTCTCAGAGATTTTTGCATGAATAAATTCCTGGTCTTCACACAATGTTTGTAGTCCTTAAGGACTACAATTGACGAAAATTTGCACAGGATTGCCTTGACTGTTTAGATAAAATAAGTGAAAATTGAAAATCACTCACAAACTAGAATTTTGCTGCCGAATTGATTGCGTGTTTTCTCCATTAAAAAAGCCACAATTCGCGAGAAACTCTTACACGGGATATTGAGAATTTAGTAGAGATTCTAAATATGCCCGAACTTTTCCTCCTTGGCACGGCCCTTTCAGTGGGTGGTGGAAAATGCACAAACACTGCACACGGGGCAGTTTCGGATCGCCACGGACTGACAACAGCGCGCTCTGACAGTCTGACGCAACATCACGGTCGAAATTTTCTTGTGGCAAATATTGAAGATTTTTCACAAAGTGCCGTTCTGTGCTGCATTGCTTCATCACGTTAAACGACTTCTTAGTGGAAAAGTGAGAAAATACACGCGAAAATCAATCATCAATCGCGAAACATTTTGCGCGGAAGTTTCGCGGCGCGTCAAGTTGCCACCACTCACGCATGGTGGCGTTGCGATACAGGAAAAATGACGGGCAACTTGCTTTTCGCTCAGACATTTTGACAGTGCGTGCAAGGGTCCAGAAAAGTCGCGAAAATAGTAATTTAAAGGCGATTTTTAGCGAAATAAACAGTGTCAGTGTGTAGATTAGGAACCAAAGTGATTATTTGCCCGCGATTCTACAATTCCACAATGGAATTTATGGTAAATATAAGTGAAAATCTGAAGCTGCCCCAGAGCAATCCGAAACATCCCCGTGCGGGGCAGTTTCAGATAAATTGCAATATTATTTTCATTCTCCTTTAGAGGAAAAAGGATCAGTTTTAATGCCCAATGAAAGGCATTTTCTGAAGCTCAACAGACAAGAGCTTATTTGAGCGTTGTGATCATTTCAATATATTCAGCCGATTTTTCAAGAAAAAATCCTAAAGTTGGAACAGCATTTTGAATCTGAAGCTGCCCCACTTACCCCTATATTGAAATAAACTAAAGCACGATATTCAAAAAAAAAAAAAACTGCAGAATCTCAATTTTACACATAAATAGATATTGCAATGATCTCTCGTCTGGTATTTACATTTCAACTCCTTGACATCTCTCAGTGGCGGTTAAGCAAATAAATTTGCTGACTTGGCTCTAAAAATACACCAATTTTGCCATCTTCTGTTTGCCATGATCTTTATTCAGCATAAATGGGCTTTGGGACAAAAGGAGTGAATGAATATCAAAGGCAATGTCTCGACGAAAGGGCAAAGAAACTTCGTCCCGCGAGAAAGTCTCGCCCGTCTCGCCCAAGGGGCGGATATTGTGTTGAGAAGCGTTGTACAATTTCAGAGGAAGTATTAGGGAAATAAAGCGTTTCATTGCGTGTTTTGAAGAGTTGATGATTTTACATGAACTATTTGGGAGAAGCAGTGTACAAATTGAGACCATTTTGCCATCCCTTGCGCGTCATATTCGCGCGGTCAGGGGGAAAATGGATGCTATTGAATGGTCTATAATTACCTGTGTGTAGTGATGAGATCTGTACATGAAGTTGCCATTAATTCGCGTGGCATTTGGCGGCTGTGCCTCGCCATCCCGCACTAATTGGCTGTGCTCTATTATAACTTCTTGGCGTTGCATTATGACAGGTGCATCGAAGTGTGGATAGAAGTTGTCGTAGTATTTCCAGCCAATGTTATTGTTATCATTTGAATACTGTCTAACTTCGTACGTGAGATGATCTTCCGGATCGTAGAATCGATGATGATACTGATGTTCCTGATACAGCTGATTTATCTGTTGCCTCCTCAAGTACTCCTGACGCTCGATGTGACGCTGATACTGGTCGAGCAGCTGGAGAGAGAGAGAGAGAGTGAGAAAACTATGAGTTTCCCGAGCACACATTCTTCAGTAAATATTCATAAACTAACATGTCACAGAGAAATAGAATAAAATTACAATTCATGCCGCTGAAATTTGTTCTCTATGTCTAGAACATGGCGACATTATTTCAGCGAAGAAGAGCCATCGTCTTACTGCTCTATTTGGGAAAATCCTCCGACAGTTGCAATTTTCTCGAGTGGAAAAACTCAGCATGTTATTTGTGACCTCACTTAAACCCACCTCCCAATAATATCCTGTCCCAAATGACATAAAAAAAATATTCCGCAAAATGGTGAGCCATTTTGAAGAGAAGTCGTTTTGTGAAGAGAAATTCGTACATGTGGAAAATTCAGAATGATAGGAAAATGTGTATAATACCAATTTCTAAGAAAATCATCTGAGGAGTTTGAATTTCTTTCCCAACAGCCAAATGACAGAGAAATTCCTCAAGTTTGCAAAGTTTTAGAATTAGTGAAAATCTCATTAGATTCTTGTTTCGGTTTGGAGAGTTTTTACTGTATTTCAAGACTGAATTGATGGAGAAAAGCGAAAAGTCGATTTTCAGTTGTTTTTGGGAGTGAAAAACAAATAAAATAGAAGAGAAGATATTATGTTGAACAATGCGCTGAAGTGAATTGATTTTAACCCAGACGATGCCTTAAATGTTGCTTCAAATAACATTTGAAATATCCCTCAGCAAACGCATCTTTTTGTTGGCCGTTTTTTTTTCTGCAATGAACGTCTTGTTGCGGAGATTCTCTGCACTGAGTGGGTGAATTGAGAAAACATAGAGAATTAATATGCGCCCTGCCCTTCAGCAAAGAGAGAGAGAGTGAATCAACAGAATTCACCATTCTTTCGTCTTGATCATTGAGATAAGTGAAGTCAAAACAGAATTCATGATCGTCCCACAGAGTCAACAGGGGAAAAAAGACAATTAACATTGTGAAAATCATAGAAATATTTCCCATCGAGATTCCACATTCTCAGGGAAATGAGGAAATTCATCTTGATGATTCATTGGGGGTTTTATTCCCTTACAACAGCACAACAAACACAATTACCATTAAAATTAGTGTACATATTGCCCTTTAAGTCGCATGCGGAAGAATTTTCCCTTCCATTTTAACTGCGAATCTCTTATGTACAAATTGCATGTCACATCGCGATGGGGTGTCACTTCCGACGGAGTGGTGAAAAAATGGGCAAAATTGCATCGCTGAAAGAATGTGAATTTGATGTATCGCAATCAATCATTTGCGGAGGAGACTATTAAAGGTTTATGGGTATCACTTTGGCCCGTTCACTCTCCGTCTGCCTTTCATCTCTCCATTCTCGAGGCGAAGAGACGACAAAGAGCGAATATTTGTCTTTTATAATTATTGCCTCTTCTGCAGCCGGAGGCGCCAAAAGGAAGAAGCGCTCTCTTGACAATCTCTCTCGGCGCACACATTTCGCAGTTTCCACTCCGATCGCGGTGATCAGCGTCCAATCTCATCAAATTTGCTCACTTCTGCTGCCCACCTTTTCCCACATCGCGCGCGTTTCAGCCCGACCTCGTGAATAATTTCATAAATAATACGATAATCGTTATATTTATTTGAGCAAGTGTGCAAAATTGCTAGTAAATTGTAGCAATTTCTTGCAATATATATAAACAAATTAGCGAACTTGTTTCCAGCTGAGACGAAAATTTTCCGTTTTTCGTTTTGCATCTATGCAGATAATATTTATTGATCTACTTCTGAACTTTTGACCATAATGCAAAATTCCACTATGCATTCACACACTGCAGGACTTGAATATTATTCTTGCTCACTTTGCTTAACGACTCGATCAAGACAACCAGAAGAGCCAGTTCAATTGGTTAAGTCAGAAAAATTGAATTCTTTCCCAGTGGCAAGAGCCGTCGCGGCACCTGAAGCACTTTAATCGCCACAATATTCATGCACATAAAATAAGATTGACTAAACTTCTATGCGAATATCTCCGCGGTTTATAAAATTTTATTTTTACGATAGAGTGAAAACATCCTTGAACGCCTCGCGCTCAATTGTCATTGCTTTTCACCACCTATAAACTCCACAATCTCGCTGGCTGTTCAGCAGCAAGAGGAGCACAGCGCAGAAAACCAATCTTCACACACTGAATTTCTAATCATTTTTGCTCACAGAAGAGCCGCAGATGCTTAAAAGGTTTGCTATATTTTGCTGTTTTCTTGCCGTGAGAGAATATGAAATATTTTAAATATCTTTATGCACATACAATTTCAATGTTCTTCGCTAAATGCATTGCCCAGCGAACATATTTCGCTGAGAATTTCATCCGTGCTCGAAGATCTGCTCGCAAAAGCGATTGTTTGAGGTCAAAGTGCCAGCATTACTTGCGATCGTATAAATTGCGACTTACAAATTGTTTGAAAGTTAAGAAATATTTATGACATTATCAACATGTTTTTAGCCCCTCAAAGCAATGTAAGATACAGTTTTTAAGGGATGTTCATTGTATGTGCTGAGAAAAGTGCTTTTATCTGCTCAATACTGGACAGAAAGTGGCAGGAAGTTATGAAGAAATTATTAAAGTTGTGTTCTGAGTTTCTGTGTTCTATTTTCATATATTGTCTGAACGCTTTTTTAATGTGAATGCTGCTCAATTGCGAGCAGTTTTGCAGCTCATTTCAACCGTCGTTCACTCTGCGAATTCCATCAGCCTTCGACTTGGTCTTTGGCTCGCATTTCCACTCTGGGAGTTTGCAAAGTGCAAGTGTTTGTTCTGAGAGAGCGAGAGATAGTAAAAAGAATACTGAAGAGAAACATGTCACATCTCCACGATCTCAATAAGCAAATTCATCATCATGTTTTAGAGATGTTGTCTTTCACTGCTTTTTTATTCCCCTGGGCAAGATCTCACACAGCGATTTGCAGAGGAAAGAAGAAAAATCCGCGTAACCTGAACCTTTGCGCTCGTTCTCTCACTTTGCAGCCAAACACACACCCAAGTGATATTGGTTGGCGAAGAAAAAAATCAATTTTATTTCATATAGCCAACACTCTTGGTCTATTTCACCTGAAAATAACTCTACAGCTCTTCAACTATGAATGAGAGCCGTGGCGAGGAAAACAAGTTCGCTTGGCAAGGTACATTGCAGTGGAAAAGCGAGGAGAGATATGGAAAAATGCTGAATGATGTATTGCAGAATATATTCTGGCTGTTGGGCGACAGAGAAGAGAGATCTCATGAAGGAATCTGTCGCTTGCATCATTTGGCATTCATAAAGTCAAGCACTGCGGGAAATTTCATTTCTGCCTTCTGCCCCAGACTTTCTCACACACACCCTAAATGGATTTTCTCTTAAATCGAAATTCACAGCTTTGCAAAGAGAGATGGCAAAAAAAAATATCTCTTCCACCCTCCCCGAAGGAGAGGCACAATAAATTCTTATGCCGCGAAGGGGGATTTTCTGTTTGTGGCTTTTTTTCCCACCCCGAAAAAGCCCGCAACGCCTCGCATTGATGTGGCCCAGTTAGATTAAATTGAGTGATAACAGGGCGGCTTTTACAGCAACAAACACACACAGCTCATATCACACCATCGTAACCATTGTAAATATTACATGTGCCGATTGATAAAGGGCGATTGAGTGTGGTCTGGAATCTTCGGTCACCCTCTCGATGCGCATGTTTGCCACCGCAAGTCTGCCATCGAGTGCAATACTATCTGTTTGCTGGGTTGAACGGAACTAATATCACAACAATATTTCCGCGTCTTTTCTGCCCCTTTTCCCATCATCAGGATAAGCAAACGCGACGGTCGCAGGAAGTTGAGCTTCTGTCGAGCTTCATTGTCACCCTGGTGAAGGCGAGCGTTGTGCGCTTCATAAAAATCTCGTCCGTTTTCATCTCCTTTTGACAAAATAAATAAATTGACTATCATGAAAATTTGCCAAACATCTTTACCCCATTCATCCATCCGCCGCACTATCAAACTTTCCTCGGGAGATTTATCTCCAAGTTCAGCACACAGGGGAAAAGTTATGTAGCTCACATTGCTATATGGCTATTCGATTTTCCCAAACTACCATCGGACTTATGTCTTCCTGAGCACATTTCACTTTGGAAATTGTTAATAAGTTTGCTCCAGTGTTCGGGATTTCTCATTATATATACCCGTACATCTCTCTGAGTTTAATCTGTAAAAGAACAGCTTCATAATGGATTTACTTTTTTTTCTGCTTCTTCTTCTCCCCGGAAAACACTCCATCTGGGGTTCAAACAACACGCTCCTCAAGGGTCATCTTAGAGACAACAAGAAACCGCCGCACAAACTTAAATCGAAAGCCACAGAGCACCAAATGCGGCGTTATCTATTCAAATAAGGACTCTCAAGAGGACACTTCAGCAACTAAAGTCCGCAGGCTTTTTAACTTTTGCAAAGTTTATAAGGACACATTCATCGAAACAGCACGCAATTTCAGTTTGAGTAATCGAAGAGTAAGTTTTCAAAATGTTATGAGACATTTTGAAAGATTTTATTCAAGTTGAGAAGAAATGATAAAAATCTTCCACAATTTCTGTAAAAAATCGCAGAGACTTCCAGAACTGTGGCAAAAAACTGTGCTTAAAAATGCAATTTTCTTCAAGAATCTTTGAACAAAAAGACGCCATTCTTACTTTTGTGACTCTAATAACTAATGGAAAATTAGTGTTTAAGAAATATTTTAGGTTTCCTGAGTATATTTTAATGTGATATAATTTTAAATCACTCTTTTGGGTGCACTTTGGATCATATTCTAAAAAATATCTTGAGGTATTTAAAAGAATTTTGATAAAGGATGAAAATTCCTACTTAAAAGTAGAAAATCAATTAAAAACAACTGTTAAAATAGACAATTTTGTGTCCTAAAACAGTATTTAAGAGATTATGATCAATCTTAGCAAAATTAACATGAATTTGGCATTAAAAACTTGTAA